TTGGAGCAGAGAGAGAGAGCCGCCATCGCTCAGGCGATAAAAAGCGGCGAAGGTTCACGGAGAGAAGAATCGGCGGGGGTTCACGGAGAGCTGAGAGAGAGAGAGAGAGATGGAGAGAGACGCCGTGCACGAGTTACCAGATTTTTTCCCACAAAATTAGGGTTACTTCCTTATATACGAGGACTAATTTTTCGGTTAAGTGAAAAACAATTCAGTTAAATTCGGTTAATTCGATTGAATTCGGTTAAATAGAATTTATCATGAAGTTTACAAGAGAAGTCTAATCTGGAAGTCTCCTAAACCGACTATATTGTATCAAAAATTTATTTCAATATATTTCGTTCCCGCTAATTTTTCCAAAATATTTTGTTTCCCACCAGTGTGTTTTGAATTTTAGACTTTATCGCAAAGTCTACTAATGAAGTCCTATCGATGAAATCTAACTAACCCTAAACCCTAAATCAAATATTTAAGATCAAATCTACAAAACATCAATAATGTATACATAATCATGATTTACATTATAAACTATGAATTCATTGACTTTAAATCGTTAAAAGAACCGCAAATATTTTTTTATGTCAAAAATCTCTAAACCCTAACCATAAAATCATAAACCCTATACATTATACCTCAAAGACTAAGCTTGATGATTGCTTTACTCATGAAACTTATAAATTGATTAATTTTCATGAAATTTTATTTTACATTGATAAAACTTGTCTTTATTTAAATTATCTATAGTTTTTTTTTTCAAAATTGTTTTTTATAAATTTTAAACTTAAATTTTAGATTTTGTTATTTAGTAGACTTCTTGAGTAGACTTCACACAATTTTTTTTGGATTATATCATAATTTGTATTACCGGATTTAAATTGATCAATTTATATGCAAATTTATTTTTCATGGATAGTACTTGTCTTTGTTAAAATTATGTGTAAATACCTTGATCAAAATATTTTTAACATATTTTAAACTTTAAATTTACGATTTTGCTATATAGTAGACTTATGGAGTAGACTTCACGCATTTTATAGGTTACAAACATAATTTCTCTTACTTGAGTTACATAGATTCATTTTTATGCAATTTTATTTTTCTTGGATGCCAAATGTTCTAATCTTATTTATGTATAATTTTGTTTGATCAAATAAATTTTCTATAATTTTATAAATTAAATTTGAGTTGTGATTAGGAATTAGACTTCATGAATGAAGTCTAATACGCAATAGACTTCATGAATAGACTTTAAACGGGGTAAAACAGACATTGTGGCTAACATTTTTTCTTTAATTTGTTCATAAGGGTGTAGTTTGTAATTTTACACACCCAGAAGACTAGTTTTGCTCTAAATGCAATATAGGGTCTAGTTTTGCATTTCAAATCAAATTGTGCACTATATTTGGCAATTCCCCCTAATATTTTTGTCATAATTGTATCTTGGGCTTATAAAAAAAAATACATTACTATGAAAGTATGGTCTAATTAGTTTTTTGAGATCTTATACTTTACTACTAAAATATGTTGAGATTGTTTAAATTTTTTTTTGATAAATGTAGTTGTAGAACCAAAATTATTGAAATCACCTTGTGAATATCTAGTGCATTGTCTTGCATATCTATTTTTCTTTTTTAATATGATAAAAATGGTACTTTAAGCCTGAGTTTACCGTTTTCCCGTTTGTAAGAATAGATAATGATCAGTGGAAGGCATATTGATTTGATTTCCATTTTACATGCATCAGTTATCTTAATCTCGGTTCGGGTTTGCCAGTTTTAAAAATGTATATTTTGAAAAGGGCATCATTTTAAAGTGACGATAGCAATGAACTTCTTCGGTGAAGTGAAAGCAACTTTATGTGAGAAACTTTTGACAATAGAGACTTGAAAAACTTGTTACTAGAAGGGTTTTTCGGCAGATATCATTTTTTTTTCATATGTAAATAATAGTGAGCTTACAATTATATCACTTGAAGCCATTTATAGAAAAAAAATACACTTGTGTAACTTTTTATATCACATCTATCCTTTTATGTTTCTCATTCCTATAGTCTCCGTCCTGAAATTTCACCATATAATCCATGTCAACTCCTCGATACACATAAGATAATAATATACATATATATGTTTATGGTTATATCAAATGAAGATATTGAAATTTGTATTTTTTTATAAAAAAAATTGATATTCTAAAACCAATATGACCGTTATGCGTTTCTGTTGAGTTTCATCAAATGTTTGATCGAGAAATCTCTTAAAGACAGCCCCAATATATAGTTAATATTTAAAGACAAAACACCATAAGTAATTAACGAAATAACATAAGTGGAAAAATTATTACGACGATGATTGAGATTGAACATTAGGCGACGCTAGGAGGCAGTGGCACTCGCGGGTACACTTGTCATCGCAGTATTTTGGAGGATGTCCAAACCCACACTTGCCCGTGCACCAGTCATAGCACCAACCCTTCTTGCATGAAACTCCTTCTGCTTCTCCTATCATAGACGCCATTACTACTGCCACCACCATCATCACTACAATGCATTTCTTCGTACTCATCTTTCTTAATTTTTTTTTGTGTATGAAAAATTATATATGTTCATTAAGAAGTTTTTATATATATATATATATATACACACACATATGAAATTAATAACGTATGCTTAGTTGATGATACTATACTTAATTTTCTCAGGATTCTGTCTTAGTTACTTTTGATTTTTTCCATTTAACAGAAAATAGGTAATTTTAAATTGGGTAATTCATTTACAAATAAATGTAAAATCGAGATCCTAATTCGAAATCTTTTACTCCCTCCGTTTCATATTAGTTGTCGTTTTTAGAAATGTATTTGAAATGTATATGAATATGTTCTGAGTTAAACACATCCAATTATATTTCTAAAAACGACAACTAATATGAAACAAAAAGAGTAATATTTTTTTCATAATTGTATCTTCGGCTTATGAAAAAAAATATTACATTACTACAAAAGTATGTGATATCACTATATTTTACATGCTATGTGATATCACTATATTTTACATGATTTTACTATATTACTATTGATTACATATATGATTTTACTATATAACTATTTATGTTTTCAAACGGTTTTTGCAAGATTCTTTGCCTTTAGAGGTAGTTTTCTTGTATTTGTGGGATTTGAAGTCTTTGTAGGTGAAACCATCAAAAAGGATGCAAAAAGGAGTAAAAGAGCCCTAAACCAAGATCCATGCAAGTTTCCAAGTCAAGAAGATCATTTTATCTCCAAGTGTTAGTTCTCGCTGCGCGCAGAACGAAGCTTCGGAAGTTTGGCCGCGCGGAGGAGTTCCCGACGTCCAAAAGTTACGATCTTGATATGGAAAGATAGATACTTGAGTCATGCATCACGTCGAAGTGGAATGAAGCCATTTGGATCAACTATGAGGCCTAGACTTATTTTCTACCGAGACATGTCCGGTAAGCGAGCAAACGAAGCCCATGGAGGATTTGGAGTGTCTAATGGCCCGAGCAGCAGCGCCAAAGGCCTTGATCGAATAGAGAAGAGGCCTGGCTAATGTTTGGAGCTTTCCTTGGTACAATGTCGGCCCATACACGACGTGGAGAAGAAGGCTCGGCTCATGGGAAACTTTCCTTTTCCGGCATGAAGAAAACCCTACTCGACTTCGCCCATATATACATGTTTTTAGCCGCTGAAGAAGAGAATCGAGCGTGTGAGTTTGTGAGAAGAGAGTCAGAGAAGAGAGGCCAAGAGAGAAGCCCTAGGAGATCGTCCAAGAAGAAGGAGGCGCCGCTCAACTCTTGTTCTTTCTTTTTCATTGTTTCCATTTCTATAAACTTGATCTTAAGAGTTTTCAAGGGAGAATCCGACTTTGTTCATCAATAGAGAAGCTTTCTTCATCCCTTTATCTCTTTTAATACTTGCATAATGTTTACAATCATGCTTTGCTTGCTTGTTTGCATCATGGCCGAGTAGATCTCTTAGTTAGGCCGAGGAGATCTATGGTGGCCGTGATGATTTGATTGTGTTGCAACTTATTGGGATTTATCTTATGGATCTTCACCTTTACTTGAGCTTAATGCATGATTACTCTACCGTACATCTAGTAATCTGATCTTAGAGAAATAGAACCACGACAGTGCTGAATCTAGATCTCAAAACTAGTATTTGGTGAGCAATAGATCATAGCCAACGAAAGCTGAGTTATGGTTTATTGTGAACAATTGAATCTTGATCACCTTTAATGCATGTTTGCAATTCTAATAGCCAACGAAAGCTGAGTATATTAGGTTGTTTTAAACATAGTGGTTGGAGCCACGACAGTGGAAAACCATACACTAGTGATTCATGTTCAAGACGGCTCTACACAAATGATACAAGCAAGGGCTATCACAGTGCTTTGTATGATCAAGGACTCAAAGCTTAAGCTTTCGGATCAGGGTTGGATCGATTTGATTGAGCTTCTCTAACCAAATGGAGCCGTTGGGCGGAAGGGTTTGAATGATGTAGCGATGAGACTTAAACAACTTGAATCCACAAGCTATCTAAATCCGAGATGGTATGAGGTGCACCACACAAGCTGTGAAAGGCTTATGATAAAACACAAGGGTTTCTTGGCTAAGGAGGGCTGGTCTCGACTTAGACAAAGAAATGAAAACAAGTTTGCTCAGAAGCTTAGTTGAAGAAAATTCAGATTTTATTAATATCAAAGGTAATCATACAATGCTGTGAGAGGGGACTTTATTTAGAGTCCAAACAGCTGTGCCCTTCAAGGGGTCTTTGAAACAGATTACAAAGATCAAAAGAAATAAATAAAAGTGCAACAATCTTGCTAATCAAAATAAAAACGAAATGGAATAAGAGAAAACAAGAAATGGTTAGTCAAAGATCATAAAATGTGATTCAAAGCTTACCTTCTTTACCTCTAGACGTGTGAGACCAAGGCTGCAAAAAGAAAGTGTCGTTGGAGTTCTTTGACTAAGTATTCTCTTGGTTTAGGCGCCGGTTTCTTCCCATTCAATCTTGAAGACTTGGACTTGGGCTTTAAGTGAAAGAATCGGCCATTCTTCTTGGTTCCAAGAGCTCGGTCCGGCCTCATTTGCATCACTCCAAAGTTGTATTTGATTGGCCTCCATAACCGGTTGATTGGCTTCAATAACCGGTTGGTCTTGTATCTCGATCATAATTGCCTTTTCTTTAGCCTTCTCTTGCTCTGCCTTGAGTGTAGCTTGCCTTATGCTGTGATTGAACTTGTGTTGTAATATCCTAGCTCTTTGTCTTGTGATAGCTCCTTTATAGGCAGTGGGAACATTGACATCTTGCAAGTCTGGTTCAGTGAGGTCTGGTTCTGATAGTATGTCCTCATCAACAAATCCCATGCAACTATCTTTTCATCATTGCTCCATATGATTGTCCTTTGCCTAACTCTTGTTTTAAATTGTTTACAACCTCACTCACATTCTTTTTTTTTGCTTTCTCATTCTAGGTCCAAAACCATCTCATATTGCGAGCTAGCTACAAACCAATCTCACAAGGTGTTAAGTGAGAACACTTCCTCCTCGTGTTCGACCCCGACTACAACACGGCTGTGCACTTGCAGCTCATTAGTTGGGTTTATAAATTGTGAAAATTTGAGGCAATCTAAACCCGCCATCAAGCTTTCTGGCGCCGTTGCCGGGGAGGAGTTGCTTTTCCTTCACACCTCTTGATTGATTTCAAGACTAGCTCATCTCATCTTTCACTTTTCTTTGTTTTTGTTTTTCATAAAATCTTAAAAATCATAAAAATTTTACTTAACTCTCTCTTTGTGTGTTTCTAAGGTGCATGACAAGAAGGTCCAATCCAAATACAACCATTGAAGAAGATCTTGACATTGACCAACTTGAGCGCACACTTAGGCGACTAAGGAGAGAAAGAATGAATCCAGGCGGAGAAGGCGCGCCAAATAGGCCAACACAACCCGCCCGACCAAGAGAGGAGAGCCAATGATCCTCCTAATCCAGCAGAAGCTAGAGCTGACCAGCCAGCACCGGCCAGAGACGTTCCTCCACCCAATCCGAACGCGCCCGATGCAGCTGAGCCGCTACAGCCACCTCTTAACCCGCCGCGACCACCACCGGCGTTTGCAAATGGACATCATCGTCACGGTGACAACCAAGGGATGCCTCAAGACCAACCTCACGCACCTCCAAGGAGAGTGCCAAACGCGCAGCATCCAAGGCACCAAACTATGGGAGACTTTGATTCGTCCGATGCTTTCTTTATGGATCGGAATCCAATCCGACCGCCTCTACCTCCAAGGAACGATTTTGAGATCAAACCGCAGATCATTGCCTTGGTGAAGCAAAACCAATTCCATGGTTTGCCCACTGAGCATCCTCTTGATCACGTCGACACCTTTGAGGAGATATGTAGCACAACTCGTGTTAATGGAGTATCGCCGGATTACTTCAAGTGCAAGCTATTCACTTTTTCTCTAAGTGACAAGGCGCTAAGATGGGTAAAATCTTTACCACCTCAGTCCATTACAACATGGAATGAATACAAGGGAGCTTTCTTGAACCAATTCTACACTAAGCAAAGATCCAACTCTATAAGGAGCAAGATTTCTGGTTTCAAGCAAGATTCAATGGAGTCATTCTATGAAGCTTTGGAGAGATTCAAGGAGTACACAAGAAGCTGCCCTAACCATGGCTTTTCAGAAGGTAACCTTTGGAACATCTTTTACAATGGGATTGATCATAAATACAAGCTTTCTCTCGATACCGCGAGCAATGGTAATTTCATGACCAAGTCGGTGCCGGAGGCAAAGCTTTTGATTGAGAATCTCGCTGCTAGTGATGCCAATGCATGCCCTGACTACAATAGAAGCGTGAAGACCACGAGCTCATCAGAATCAGCTCAAATCTCGGAGCTAAGGAACATGGTCTCACAACTACTTAAAAGCCGACAAGGAGTTCACGCCATTGAAGATGCCCTAGCCACAAATGAAGACACTCTTATGGATTTCATGAGAGATGGCACTGAAGAGAATCTAGAGGAAGTCAACTACATTGGAGGAAACTATGGGAATAGAGGATTCAATCCACCATTTCGCGCGCATCCAAACCTATCATACCGGAGCAACAATGTGGAGAATCCAAATGACCAAGTCTACCCCAATCAAGGAGCGTATCAAGGAGGCCAATACCAATCCAAGCCACAACAAGTCTATCCAAGAGGGATGTACCAAGTGAAGCAACCATTCACTTTTTCTCAAGAAACAAATCCAACCCAAACCGGAGAGAAGGTTGACGTGGCGTTGAAGAAATACATGGAGGAGCAGAGATTGATCACCAAGAACCTATATGAGAAGCTTGATCACATGTTTGGTGATCTAAGCAGCAAGTTTGGGTCTCTCTCTACTCACGTTCAAAAGCTTGAGGTGCAAATCGCTCAAACAGCCGAGGCGGCCAAGAAACAAAATGAGGTAAACACTCAAAAATTTTGTAGTGTTGTCTCATCTATAGATGGCACAATTGTTCCTACACTATCTCAAGGGGAAGAAGAAGAAAATGAGCCTAAGGAGAGGCACAAACCGGAGAGATACAGTTGGGAATCAAGAAGAGCTTACAAGAGAAGACTTGAAGGCAAGCCACTACAAAAACAAGAAGATCCGGGGAAGTTTGTGATAACTTCAAGTATCAATGGCATTCAACTCCACGATTGCCTATGTGATACTGGTGCTAATGTTAATCTAATGTCTCTTGCACTTGCAAAAGATTTGGGATTCAAGGAATTCAAGAGCCCCAAGATAAGAGTCGAGTTCGCGGATCTATCGTGCATGGAACCTTATGGAATGCTTGAAGATGTCATGATGGAAATAGGGGGTCGATCGGTCCCAACTGACTTTCAAGTCATGATTTGGGAAGGCTCAAAGAGGAATCAACTGATTCTTGGAACCCCATTCCTTGCTACAGCTGGAGCGGTCCTAAACTACTTTGGGAATCATCTATCTTTTGGCCACATCCGGCAAGATATCTTTTTCCCAAGTGTAAATTTCAGGTCAGTGCCAAGTGCGACCAAGCTACCACCAGAAGAAGCCACTCTCATGCCTAAGAAAGAAGCTATGCTGCATGGAGAAAGAAGAGAGAGTGAGCGCTACCCAAAACCAAAGGAGAAGAAGAAAACATTGGAGCCGAGGCATGAAAATGTCTTTAAGGATATCAACTCCATCTTACTTCCAACCTTTGACGATATGGAGCTGAAGAGGAGACTAATGGTGCACCTAATCTCTTTCACAAGATAAGAATCTTTACACCAAAAGATTCGGAGCTTAAAGGTGACCAATCCATTGAAGAGAAGCTTGAGAGAACTATGAAGCTTTTCCCCAAGGCATTGGTTTTCAAAGATGATGTGAGAGATGACTATGGCGCGACAACACCACCACAAGAATCCACTGAACCGGAGAATGGAGAAGCTAAAGGGATCCTTTGCCCTTCAGCCACTCTTCACCACGATTGAAAGAAAGAAAAGGAGTCAAGCTAAATGACTTAAAACAAAAGCGCTTTATGGGAGGCAACCCATATGGTTTTTAACTATTATTTCTATTTTGCAGGAGTTTTTCAAAAATCAAACAAAAATACAAAAATATTTTCTTAGGATGAAGACCCAAAGGAGACCAAACAATGGAAGTGTCCCACCCAATGAGCCCACCCTTGTACAAGGCGTTTCTCTTCCAAAAGGTAAGTAAACTCTCACCTAGTATTCATTTCTAATCACTCTTGATCTTCACTTGAAAAATCGTTTAAACCATTGCACTTTATCAAATATATTTCATGGTTTAACTTGATTTACTTTTGATGATTGGAAAGAATACATAATCACTTGTCAAAACTCATTTCTCACTGAAATTACAAGAGATTGAACTATAGTTTGAAATTTGGATCATTGACCAAGACCAAATAAGAATTTATAGTTTGTGCTTTAATCTCTTGGATTGTGAACTTCAAGTTGGTCACTTGAGGATCACAATCTGAGAAACCATCTAATCATGATTTCAAGTGTTTTGCAAGGAGTTAACCATTTGACAGGAAGGAGAAATAGAGCAAACCTATAACCACCTCAAAACCAACATGCATATGGCGGCCAAAGGGAGGTTAAAAGGAGATACAAGGCCATCACACGAAACAAGGCGGCCACCACTTGGGAATGACACAGGAGGGTTATTAAAACAATTCGGTCGAAGAAAATCTCAATTGGCCCGAGTGGATTTGAAGAAATTCAATCCGGACATTTCTCTCGGCCATACCGCGCACAAGGAGAACCATTACGGCCAACTCCTAAACGGCGTGACCAAAGTCCACCAAACTTCACAGGCGACCATAAAATCACATTTTGGTCGGCAAATCCAAAAGATAGGACGGAGAAATCATCACGGATCATGAGATAGACGACGGAGCTCATTCTGGCCGATGGCGCGCAAGCAATATGGCCGACAAAACCAAATCACGGCATAGGCGCGCCAACCGGTTGGAAAACTCTTCTTTGAGCTTAACTAACACTTTTATGCAGGAAGAAACGAAAAGGAACGAGCCAAACTTCACATGGCCAAGGAAACTCCTTCCCGGAGCCGACTTGACCATTTTGTGAAGGAAGTCTCAATCCGCTCGTCAAATGCTCCCAAACTTCACCAGAGGCCATAAAATACCAGGTTGGTCGATGAAATTTCAATATAGGTCATGAAATTTTGACGGTTTGTTCTGTAGTTCACAGCACCACATTTTGGCCGACCGAATATACCAATCTCGGCCAAAACACAAACCGGCGGAAACCAAGGCCTGAAATTAAAAACTCACCGACCAATATTGCCTAAAGAAGTGTAGAATGACCCAAACCGGAACTGATCTTCATTATAAATTGGTCGACATTTGGTAACATCATCCTAAACCTTTTTCTTTTCAATTTTTCATTTGAACTTCATGTTATGCCTCTCTTAATCCGATTTGCTTTCACCGGGACGGTGCAAGTTAAGTCTGGGGGGATTACTAACAATGTTTGTTCATTTTGGCATTTTCATTTGCATTTTTCCCTTTTATCGAGTCGTTTTTATTGAGTCAAAATTTTTGTCGAGAATCATGACCTTATCTTGGATCTAACCATGTTGTACTAATGTTTAAGTGACCATTGAGCAGTTCTTGGCAATACATCTTACCACAGGTGCACTATGAGTTGATCGATCTACCAAAAACGCCTACATCTCTAAAGACTTGAGAAGGATCCATCTTTGACTCCGCCCTTAATGAACTTAATCTTCTCAGCTAGGGGCTTGGCATACAAATGGCATGATTCCTCATCCTCTCCATCAAATGAAAAAGTCTTAGTGAGTTCGTGCTTCCCTCTCTCTCCCCTTCAAATTTAAAGAAAAAGCGTAAGGTCCAAGTAACCGGGGATTCGGTGGCAAACACCATCAATACTCGCGTCTATGGAAGGCCTATGAATCCAAGCAACCGGGGATTCGGTGGCAAACACCATCAATACTCGCGTCTGTGGAAGATCCAAGCAAAACCTCTATAATAAAGAGAAGGAGTTGAATAAAAAAATACTTCGCTACCCTAAAAAAGGGATGAATCAACTCAAAGAAGTGAGAAGAGAGAGAGGAGAAACATGGAGTAAAAGACAAGTGCCAAACAAGGGGATGAGTAAGAATCTAAAAGCCGGCTGATCGATACTCCCTAGTTGAGACCACACCTTTAGAAATGAAAGGAGTCAAGGGTGGCGAATTGGATTGTCCAAGGAGAGGTGGACCGCTTTGGGAAAATCGCAAAACTCATGGTATGTACTTTGTTCTTAATTCAAAACTTGCCAATGCTGTTTCATGTGGATTACTAAAGCATAAGTCAATTTGGATTTCCAAAAGATTTGAGAGTTCTCACGTTTTCAAACCTCTTTTCCTGCTTAGTTTGCTTGGGGACAAGCAAAAGGCTAAGTCTGGGGGAGTTGATATCACCATATTTTACATGATTTTACTATATAATATTATGTTTTCAAACGGTTTTTGCAAGATTCTTTGCCTTTAGAGGTAGTTTTCTTGTATTTGTGGGATTTGAAGTCTTTGTAGGTGAAAATCAAAAAGGATGCAAAAAGGAGTAAAAGAGCCTAAATCAAGATCCATGCAAGTTTCCAAGTCAAGAAGATCATTTTATCTCCAAGTGTTAGTTCTCGCTAGCGCGCAGAACGAAGCTTCGGAAGTTTGGCCGCGCGCGGAGGAGTTCCCGACGTCCAAAAGTTACGATCTTGATATGGAAAGATAGATACTTGAGTCATGCATCACGTCGAAGTGGAATGAAGCCATTTGGATCAACTATGAGGCCTAGAACTTATTTTCTACCGAGACATGTCCGGTAAGCGAGCAAACGAAGCCCATGGCTCAACTCTTGTTCTTTCTCGTTTTCATTATTTCCATTTCTTTGTACTTGATCTTAAGAGTTTCAAGGGAGAATCCGACTTTGTTCATCAATACAGAAGCTTTCTTCATCCCTTTATCTCTTTTAATACTTACATAATTCTTTCAATCATGCTTCGCTTGCTTGTTTGCATCATGGCCGAGTAGATCTCTTAGTTAGGCCGAGGAGATCTATGGTGGCCATGATGTCTTGATTTGATTGCAACTTATTGGGATTTATCTTATGGATCTTCACCTTTACTTGAACTTAATGCATGATTACTGATGTACTTGCATTTTACATAGTTTTAGCACATCTTTTATGCATCTTTTGCATAGTTTTAGCTTCCATTTGCATCATATCTTGTTCCTTTTCTCTTCTTATGCATTCATGTTAGTTTTAGGTTGCATTTGCATACATATGCATGTTTGGTCCTTTGAAATAGGTCTTTTGGAGCATTCTGGAGCATATGGGACAAGGAGCATGGAGGGACTTGGCACATGGAAGCAGCTCAACTGGATACGCAAAGGAAGAAGGGAGAAGCCATCTTGAAGACCAGCTCGACCGTCCACTCGACCAACCGGTCGAGTTCCTCAACTCGACCGGCCAAGCTTCAACTCGATCGAGCTGGAAGTCAAAGTCAAACCCGAAAAATGTTGCTTCCCCCTTGACTTTCCTTTGACCCTAAACCTAATCCTCTTTGTATTTAAAGGCTCTAAGCCACGAAAAAACCACCAAGCTTTAGATTATTTTGTTTTAGTTTCTTTTAATTTATTGTCTTTTACTTTTTAGAGATCTAATCCCATCTTTGTGTTCTTGAAGCTCTTGCTTCTTGAATCCTAGATCCTGGATAATCTCTTTGTATTTGCACTTGCTTATTTCAATAAAAGTTGTTTAATTTCATCTCCTCTTTCTTATGATGTCTCTTTTATTGCATTTGCTTGTGTTTACATTCATGTGTAGTGAGTAGTTACCCATTAGGGTTTGAGATGGGATAGATTAGAGGTTTCATATGCTTAATCCTTCTAGCTTATGGTCTTAATCTAGATTCTCTCTCTTTTGGATAGATCTTAAGGCTACATGACCACTACCCCTGGCTTGTAAGTCCTTAGGCGACTCCCCACACGAAAGTGATGGCATTCGCTGGAAAAGATCCACTAAGAGCTCCAATATCTCTTGCTCTAGACAATAGAGGTCTAAGGGGTTGGATGGATTAGTTTGGGCAATGATCCTATAGCCTCCAAGGTTTGATTCTCACTGGCTAACCCCCTGTTTCTGAGATCATTCCTTGGTTGATAGCCTCCACCTTGGGAAAGGGTTGGCTAGGCATTGAGAAGCCCAATATCAAGAGAAGCCTTGATACAAGGAGTTTTAAGAGCTAGATTGATTAAGTGTAGATTCCTTTGATTGCAAAACCCTGTCTTGAACCCTAATTCTCTCTTTATCTTGTTAAAGTCGTCACCTTTAGCTTTGTTTGTCTCAACTCGTCCCTAAACTCGATCGAGCTGGTACTTTGCTCTGACTCGACTCGAGCTCTTGGTCGAGCTGACACTTCACTGCTTTGTTTACTTTTATTGCACTGCTTTTCATTTTTTTAGGTTGTTAGTGTTACTTCAAATCTATAACTGCTTGCTTGACTTTCTGGTTGTTTCATATTCTCATAGAGTGACAAGTTTCCCATTTTGGATTGATAACCCTTTGTACTACATCAACTATCATGGTTAAAGGGAATTGTTGACTGTGTTTGTGTTTGCATCTTACCACCTCATCATATACCACTGATTGCATTCCACTCATCTCATTTCATATCTTTTCACATCCACACACAAATCTTATCATCAATTACTCTACCGTACATCTAGTAATCTGATCTTAGAGAAATAGAACCACGACAGTGCTGAATCTAGATCTCAAAACTAGTATTTGGTGAGCAATGGATCATAGCCAACGAAAGTTGAGTTATGGTTTATTGTGAACAATTGAATCTTGATCATCTTTAATGCATGTTTGCAATACTAATAGCCAACGAAAGCTGAGTATATTAGGTTGTTTTAAACATAGTGGTTGGAGCCACGACAGTGGAAAGCTATACACTAGTGATTCATGTTCAAGACGGCTCTACACAAATCCCATGCAACTATCTTTTCATCATTGCTCCATATGATTGTCCTTTGCCTAACTCTTGTTTTAAATTGTTTACAACCTCACTCACATCTCTTTTGTTTTGCTCTCTTATTCTAGGTCCAAAACCATCCAATATCACGAGCTAGCTACAAACCAATCTCACAAGGTGTTAAGCGAGAACACTTCCTCCTTGTGTTCGACCCCGACTACAACGCGGCTGTGCACTTGCAGCTCAACTAGTTGGGTTTATAAATTGTGAAAATTTGAGGCAATCTAAACCCGCCATCACTATGAAAGTATGGTCTAATTAGTTTTTTGAGATCTTATACTTCACTACTAAAATATGTTGAGATCGTTTAATATTTTTTTTGATAAATGTAATTGTAGAGCCAAAATTATTGAAATCACCTTGTGCATATCTAGTGCATTATGTTGTACGTCTATTTTTTTTTTCTTTAATATGATAAAAATTATACTTTAAGCCTGAGTTTACCGTTTTCCCGTTTGTAAAAATAGATAATGATCAATGGAAGGCATATTGATTTGATTTCTATTTTACATGCATCGGTTATCTTAATCTCGGTTCGGGTTTGCCAGTTTAAAAAATATTTATTTTGAAAAGGGCATCATTTTAAAGTGACGATAGCAATGAACTTCTTGGGTGTAAGTGAAAGCAACTTTATGTGAGAAACTTTTGACAATAGAGAGTTGAAAAACTTGTTACTAGATGGGTGTTTTGGCGGATATCATATATTTTTTTCATTCATATGTAAATAATAGTGAGCTTACAATTATATCACTTGAAGCCATTTATAAAAAAAAAAAATACACTTGTGTAATGTTTTATATCACATCTATCCTTTTATGTTTCTCATTCCTATAGTCTCCGTCCTGAAATTTCACCATATAATCCATGTCAACTCCACAATACACATAACATAATAATATCCATATATATGTTTATGGTTATATCAAATGAAGATATTGAAATTTATACATATTTTTTTAAATCGATATTGTAAAACCAATATGACCGTTATGCGTTTCTGTTGAGTTTTCATCAAATGTTTGATCGAGAAATCTCTTAAAGACAGCCCCAATATATAGTTAACATTTAAAGACAAAACACCATAAGTAATTAACGAAATAACATGTGGAAAATTATTACAACGATGATAGAGATTGAACACTAGGCGACGCTAGGAGGCAGTGGCACTCGCGGGTTACCTTGTCATCGCAGTATTTTGGAGGATGTCCAAACCCACACTTGCCCGTGCACCAGTCATAGCACCAACCCTTCTTGCATGAAACTCCTTATGCTTCTCTTATCATAGACGCCATTACTACTGCCACCACCATCATCACTACAATGCATTTCTTCGTACTCATCTGTTTATGAAAAATTATATATGTTCATTAAGAAGTTTATATATATATATATACACACACCTATGAAATTAATAACGTATGTTTAGTTGATGATACTATACTTAATCTTCTCAGGATTCTGTCTTAGTTACGTTTGATTTTTTTCCATTTAGCAGAAAGTAGGTAATTCATTTACAAAGAATTGTAAAATCTAGATCCAAATTCGAAATCTTTTACTCCCTCCGTTTCATATTAGTTGTCGTTTTTAGAAATGTATTTGAAATGTATATGAATATGTTCTTAGTTAAACACATCCAAATACATTTCTAAAAACGACAACTAATATGAAACAAAAGGAGTAATATTTTTGTCATAATTGTATCTTGGGCTTATGAAAAAGAAAATTACATTACTACGAAAGTATGGCGTGATTAGCTTTTTGAGATCTTATAGTTTACTACTAAAATATGTTGAGATCTTTTAATATTTTTGTTGATAAACGTAATTGTAGAGAAATTAGCGAAATTTACCTTGTGAATATCTACTGCATTATGTTGCATGTCTATTTTTTTTTTTTAAATATGATACACACCTAATAACATGGAACAACGTGTCCACCACCTGGGAATGATAGAGGAAGGAAAGAAAATCCATTCGGTCGAGAAAAATCCCAACTGGCCCAAGTGGATTGATATACCTCTATTTTACATGTTTTCTATACTGTTTTACCATGGTTTTCTAATGGTTTAGCAGGTTTTCTATCTAAAAAGGTAGTTTTATTGGATTTATAGTACTAAAAGTCTTAATGTAACATCCGTAGCCTTCTCTGGTGAGTTTTGGAAGTTGCGTCGGGCGACGCAAGTGTTGCGTCGGTCGACGCAAGGATTTCAAAATCAGACCCGGTTTGATTTAAATGGTCCGGTTTAGCTGGTTTTGGGCAGAAAAGCCCTAGAACTCGAATTAAAAGGTGCAGCCGCCTCCTTTTTGCACAGTTTTCGAGGCAGAGAGTTCTGGAGAGGAGAAGAGGCGATTTTGTGGAGGAAATCCGAGTTTTAGTGGCAGATCAAAGTGCCGTTCGTTGTTCCTTGCTGTTTCCATCGTTTTTCTCCTTTCAAATCCGTTTTCAAGGTGAGTGCATGACTGTAGGTCCGCAAATCACTAGATCTGGATTGATTGAATGTTGTTCTTGAGGTGTTCTTATGATATAAGGTTTATGTGATGATGTTTGGTTGATTCCTGTGTTAATTTAGTGTTTCTGCGTGTTTTGTTGATATCTTTGTCAACCTGACAGACGTGCGTCGGGCGACGCAAAGCTTGCGTCGGTCGACGCAAAGTGGTCTGCGTCTGGCGACGCAAAGCTTGCGTCGGTCGACGCAGCCGGTTCTGTCTGGTTCAATTGGAAATTGATTTCTGGTTCAAATTAAGTGATTTCTGGTTAAAATCTGGTTAAATGGTTTAATTCGAATTTAATTAATTAAATGATATTTAATTGATTAAGAGGCTTAAAATAATTATTTAAATTATTTTAAAATATAGAAAATTACTATTTAGTTATGAGAATTATTTAATAATTGAGAAATTGAGTTTTAATTATTAAAAATCATTTAATCATTGGAAAATGGAATTTAATAATTATTGGAGTTTATAATAATTATTTAAATGTCTAGTAATTGCGTAAATGGCTCGTAGGCAGAGTTATTGCCTCACTAAGTATTTATTAAATACTTACGCAACTCCATTCCAATGTGTTGCAGGTAAAAGATTTGTGTGATCGCGGAATCAAGGCTGAAGAGGGGGATGATAGGATGTTTACTATTTTATTGTTTTGCATTATTTGACTTGCTAGTACCTGGTGTTTAGGTTGCTAGTATTTCCTTTAATTATTTATTTGAATTTATTTGTTGAACCTGATTTATTATTAGTTATTTATTTAAAGACTTCCGCTGAATTGTTATTTAATTAATTTAATAAAAAAAAAAGTTGGTTGTTTCACTTAAACATGTGAAATTATGCATTTTGGAGCAAAACCACAGGATTTACACTTCAACCCGCTCCATACCAAAGCATCAACTTTGAGAAGGCCTGAAAAATAATCTACTGAATGTATTTAATCAAGACCACTTCGCCGCGTGCCCTGAGTGAGTTAACTCTCCAACGCAAGTAGATTCGCATCATTTGGATGAGTAGAAACGGAGTAATGATCGATTTAGTTAAGACTGGTCCATACGGCTTAAACCGCGCAACAGCGCTCAAGACCGCGCGCACCGGCCGGTCGAGGAACTATCGTCCCGTGATCGACCCGCGTCTGGACTTTACATCCGTCTCTCCTAGTGCACGGCCGAGCGCACATACCGACCCGGGAAGCAATAGCCCATGGTCATCACATCCAAGTCATATGACCATAGGCCGCGCACGACCACGCCGCGCGAACAGGAAGGCATCGCTTTTTGACCGCGCAACACAACCCATGTCCCATGCACGATCGCACTGTCCGACCAGGAAGGCATCGTCCCACGTCCCGAAGCCCGTTTTGAAGCCCGTTTTACGTGTTTTCACGGCCCAACTTAACCTAATGCCACCTTTGAAGATCTAGGACTACAAATATAAATGTTTAACCTCTTGAGAATTAGAGCCGCATTGTACCACGTTATCATACTTAGAGTTTTGTTCTAGAGATTTCAAGGAGAAGATCTCTCCTCCTTACTTCAATTTGGAGAAGTTTTCTAAACCTTTATCTATCTATTATGTTTTCTTCATCTCTTTGTGTTGTTGCTTTGATCATGTCTGAGTAATTCACTAGTTAGGTTATGGGATTTATCAACGAGTTCACGGTTCAATAGGTTGCTAGAAATCGTTTAGGGTTTATCTTATTAGATCTTCATCTTCACTTGAATTTATTGCTGCTTGCTTTTCTGATCAACTAGCATTAGATCCTAGGTTTCATATACATTCCAAAAGCTTGCTATATAACCGGAACTAAGTGTTTGGTGAGCAACACTTCATAGACTACAAAAGTTGATCTAGGCGGGGTTGTGAACAATTAGGTCTTGAACGAATTAATGCTTGATTTAACTATCTAAAGACATACCAAAAGTTTAGCGATTATATAAGTTAACAAAGGGATCAGAGCCACGACAATGGAAAGATTCTACCTCCGTGATCTGAGTTCTAGACAGCGCGCAAAAAGAAACCCTAGTGAACCCCTTCTATCACCTTATCAACCTTTAATCTCTGCGAGTTTCCCATCGCCTAGCGTTTCGTCCATCTTGATTTTATAAACCATTTAATTTTCTTTGTTTAGTTCTCCAGTCGTTAAAACCAACAAAACCCAAAATCATACTTTCTTTTCTAGCTAAATTAGACTTGCAATACTCGTAGTGTACTTATCTGCTCCTTGTGTTCGATAACCCGTTACTACTTTTGATCTGTGCACTAGCAGAATCAGGGATAGGAATAGGTAAAACCTGATCCCGCATCAAGTTTTTGGCGCCGTTGGTGGGGAGCATGACAGCTACCTTCGAGTTCCCAACTATAGTCTAGTCTAGAATTTTGTTTTTCTTTTAATTTTTGCCAATTTTCGTTTTTAGTTTTCTTTTGATCGTTTTCTATTTAAAGGGTTCTTGTCTTTGTGTCTTTCTTTGTGTCTTTCAGGTGCAAAACTTGAAGAGAAGACTTGAATATGAATGAGTCAGACGACCAAGAGGAAGGAAACAACACAGCCGCGAGAGACATAGCGCTGGGCGAGCAGCTCGATCATCCTCCAAATCGCAACAGTGTGCAAAACCAAACCATCGATGGTTTACCTAAGGAGCTGGAGCAAATAAATAGAGAAGTGATGGGAGATTTCAATTCCAACCCAGCTCTACTTACCAATCGAAATCCTATTCATCCACCACTTCCTGGAGGAAGAAGCTATGAGATTTTGCCATAGGTATTTGCTTTGGTGAAACGAAACTAAAACCAATTCCAAGGGAAACCTCAAGAGAGCCCTTTGGAGCATATTGATCCATTTGAAGAAATCTGTGGGACCCTCAGTGCGGATGGGGCACCCAAAGAGTACTTGAAGTGCAAACTTTTCTCTTTTACATTGACAGGAAAAGTCTTAAGATGGGTGAAGTCTCTTCCAGCTCAATCCATAACTACTTGGAAGGAGTACAAAGGGGCATTCTTAGGCCACTTTTTCACTACACAAAGAGCAAATTTACTAAGAGAAAAGATCTCTAACTTTCAACAAGGGCCGGTGGAGCCTTTCCATGAAGCTTTGGAGCGCTTTAAGGAGTATACTAGAGAATGTCCTAACCATTCTTTCTGATGGAAGCTTGTGGAACATTTTCTACAGAGGAATAGATAGAAAATTCTGTTTTCTCTTGATACAGCCAGCAATGGGAACTTCATGACCAAGACAGTTACTGAAGCAAAGATTCTTATTGAGAACGTAGCATCAAGCGACAGTGACAACTTCATTGGGCATGAGAGAGCAGTGAAAGCTATAAATTCTGATCCCTACAGAGAAGAGTACAGTGAGATCAAGGCAATGATGGCCGAGATTCTAAGGAATCAAGAGAAAGAAGTAATGCGACAAAGGGAAACCTATAGGGTTGAACCTACAAGCATTCAAGACTACTTTGGAGGTTTGATTCCGAACTTGCAGGAAGAAGTAAACTTCATTGGGATAGATGGTTTAGCAGCAGAGCAAGGAACTTGGGAGGACATGCCTAATGTTTTCTCAAACCATGAATTAACCCAAGAGAAGAAGAGGAGCGCATATGAGCAAGGAAATCACCAACGATTTCCTTTCAAAAGAAGAATGGAACCAAGGAGTGGTTTTGATGATTTGATAACCTCTATCATGGATTCTCAGAGAAATCACACATCAAAGATTGATGAGAAGTTGGAATCGGTTTTCACAAGAATGAATGAGAAGTTGGACTCCATCTTTTCTATTATGCGAGATTTAGATCTCAGAGTTGCCAACATAGCCAGTGATATCAAGAGAGAGGAAGGCATGCTACCAGGGAAAGTAGAGATAAATCCAAGGAATGAAATAGTAGCTGCAATCACCCTTAGGAATGGAAAAGGATATGAACCTCCTGCCTATCCTGTCAATGAAGAAATCACCCCACAACCCAAGAAGAAATTGATGGAGTATGTGATCATAGGAGATGGAACTGAACCACCTAAAGAGGTTCATGTCAGAGTCGAGCCAGGGACCCAAGAAGAAGTGGAGGAACCACCAGAAGAACCAAGGGTGTATGAGGCAAAGACCCCATATCGGAATGTTCTTGCCCAACCCAAGAAAGAGAAGGAACAAGCTAAACTTAAGGACCTCGTCAGCCAACTTTCAGTTCGGCTGCCATTCATAGATGCTTGCCAAATCATTCCATCTTTAAGGAAGTACATGAAGGCTATACTCACAAGTAATGTCAGCCTAGAGGAAGGGGCAATGATGATTACAAAGGAATGCAGTGCCATACTCCAAAACCGGATGCCAGAAAAACTGAACGACCCAGGGAGTTTTGTTCTTGCTTGCAAAATCGGTTCTACATTCTTTCATAGAGCACTTTGTGACTTGGGATCTAGTGTTAACCTAATGCCCTACTCAGTAGCTAAGCTATTAGGCATTACTGATTTCATACCCACCAAGATATCCCTAGTTTTTGCTGATCGATCTGTTCGCCCCCATGTTGGAGTAATCATGGATGTTCCAATAATGGTTGGAGATTGCTACATACCAGCTGATTTTGTGGTTCTTGAACTGGAACATCAACCTAAGGATCTTCTTATCCTAGGAAGACCATTCCTAGCTACTGAAGGAGCCATAATAGATGTTAAGAATGGTAAGATTGACTTACACCTTGGATATATAGTCATGAATTTCGAAGTAAACAAGTCTATGGAGAAACCTACTGTGTATGGCCAAGCCTTTTGGATTGGAGAGCTCACAGAAACAAAGGAAGAAGTGCTGGATGAACTCCTTCTATATGATCCACTGGAGCTAGCTCTAACCAAAGCTGAAGATGAATTTGGATACATGGAAAGAGAAGCCCAAGGTCTACTAAAGTTCATGGATTCTATGGAAGCATACGAGGAGCTAGTAGCTTACATAGATTTAGAAAGAGAAAAATAAGTGCCGGACCTCCACGAGCAGAAATCAACATCAGAGACCAAAGTAAAGTTCGACCCATGGTGCCCACTTAGAGCTCCACAGGCCGAGCTGAAACAACTTCCAGTTGGTCTAAGGTATGGATATCTTGGTCCTAATGTAACATACCATGTTATTGTCAATGCTGCACTAACAAAAGAAGAGACCGCTTTACTTGTTCGTGAACTGAGAAAGCATAGAAAGGCTCTTGGTTATTATTTATATGATATAACACGAATCTCCCCTGACCTATGTATGCATCACATTATTTTGGAGGATGAGTCGAGTTTTTCTATTGAACACCGGCTCAACCCAAATCTGAAAGAACTGGTCAAGAAAGAGATAATGAAACTATTGAAAGCTGGAGTGATATATCCAATATTGGATAGTACTTGGGTCAGCCCTGTACATGTTGTTCCAAAGAAAGGAGGGATCACAGTAATCAAGAATGAGCATGATGAGCTCATTCCAACAAGGACGATCACAGGACATAGTATGTGTGTCGACTACAGGAAACTGAATTCCTCTACGCGCAAGGATCACTATCTCCTGCCCTTAATTGACCAGATGTTTGAGCGCCTGGCCAATCATCAATACTACTGTTTCCTAGATGGATATTTGATATACCTCTATTTTACATGCTTTTTATACTGTTTTAGTATTGTTTTCTAATGGTTTTTGGCAGGTTTTCTATCTAAAAAGGTAGTTTTACTGTGTTTATAGTGTCTAGAGTCTAAACAGGTGAAATGATGCATTTTGGAGCAAAACCATAGGATTTGCACTTCAAGCCGCTCCATGCACAAGCATCAACTTTAAGAGGGCCCAGAAAAAGATCTACTCAATGGATTTCATCAAGACCAGTTCCCTGCGTGCTCTGATTGAGTTAACTTTCCAACGCAACTGGAACGGCCTAATTTGGATGAGTAGAAAAGGAGTTACAACCAAAAGAGTGAAGACTGTCCAGACGGCTCTATCGAGAATCAGCGCCCAAACCGCGCAGTCCGGCTGGCCGAGAAACGTGTTTCACGCTCGGCCAAACATCCGTCCGTCTGAAGTCTCGGCCAAAGTTCAAACCATCCGGCCGACGCACACGACCCGGGAACAATGTCCCGCGGTCGGCCAAGCCACGACCACGCCACGCCATGCCGCGCGAGCCGGGAAGCAAGCCTCGCGGCCGCGCACGACCTATCTCGCGTACCACGGCCGATGCGCCGTCCGAGCCGGGAAGCACGTCCCGCGTCCGGCCGAGAAAGCATCGGCCAATCTTCACCCGTCCGACCACAGCGGCCGACCGCGAATCCATCCGGCCACGACCGTTCCGATCGTCGACCACGGCCATACCCGATCATCCGGCCGATCGTCCCGACCGACCGTCCGAACGCCGCGGTCGACCCGAAGCCCGTTTTGAAGCCCGATTTCATATTTTCAAGCCCGGCTTAACCCTAAGCCGCCTCAAAAGACCTAGCACTATATATATAGCTTTTTAGCCTCTTGTGAAAAGAGAGCCGCCCTTGTATTTCGATTTCCTACTCTAAGTTTTATTGCAATCATGTTTTCTTCATCTCTATGTGTGTTTGCTTTGATCATGTCTGAGTAATCCACTAGTTAGGTTGCTAGGGTTACTATTCAATGAGTTGCTTGCATGATCTTTGATTTCAATGATTAGCTAGGGATTATATTAGAGTCTTTGTCTCGTCTTGTGCACTTAACTAATGCTGATTGCTTTACCGCGCATCTAGTAATCCGATCTTAGGTTGATTTGAGCCTCGACAGTGTTGTATCATTCGCCGGACATATTCTTTGACAAGCTAGGTTTCTTAGACTGCGAAAGTTGATCTACTATAATCTAGTGAACTGTATCAGAACCTATTCATTCTAAAGCTTGATTTAATCACCTAGGGACATACCAAAAGTTTAGCGACTAGGTAGATTAACAAAGGAGCCGGAGCCTCGAAAGTGGAATGGTTTTATATTCGTGATCTGTGTTCTAGACGGTTCTTAATATCCCAATATCCCTAATCAATTCATCTATCATTGTTTCATTGATCATTGCTTGCTTCTCTGCGATAGCCCCTATGACCTAGCGCTTTTCCTTATTGATTTACAACCTCGTTTACTTGCTAGTTCGGTTCACCATTACAACCTCAATCATACTTTTGTTTTAGCTTGATCCAAAATCCATAGTTTCAAAGTGTACTCAATAGCCAGTCCTTGTGTTCGATACCCATACTGTAACATCCGTAGACCAAAGAATTGTGATTTTTCTTTAGTGTCGGTCGACACCAATGGTTAAAATCGATTTCTGGTTCAATTTAAGTCAATTGAAATCCGGTTTAGGGCGGAAACCCTTGGGTCTCGAATAAAAGTCGCGCAGCCGCTTCTTCTTTTCTCTGTTTTGTCGTTTTGTGGAGAGTTTGGATAGGAGAAGAGATTTGAGGCGATTTGAGGTGTTGGTCGATCGATTGGAGGCTGATTCGTCGTTGTTTCGGAGCCTGAGTCATCGTTGGTGGCTGCTGCGTCGCTGTTCTTCGTGTTCTTCACTATCTCCTTTGATTTCTCCTTCTTTTCAACCTAGAATCAGGTGAGTGCATGACTGTGGGTCCGTGATTGCTAGATTCAGGATTTGTATGTGTTTATGTGGTGATTTCGTGATGATATTGATGTTTGATTCAGTGTTTATGGTTGTTTGAGTGATTTCCTGAATTTCGAGTTTCAGGTACTGTTCATAGTCCGATCTGGGTTTTTCCAGAATCGGTGTCGGTCGACACAGACCGGTTAACTCTGGTTAAAATCAATTTAATTGGTTTAATTGAATTTGGCTGGTTTAATCAATTGGAATGGTTTAATCAATTTTGGTTGGTTTAATTCGGTATTTAATTAATTAATGAGTATTTAATTAATTAAATGGTTAAAATAATTATTTTAATTATTTTAAAATATGGAAAATTATTATTTAATTATGAGAATTATTTAATAATTGAGAAATTGAGTTTTAATTATTAAAAATTATTTAATAATTGGAAAATGGTATTTAATAATTATTGGAGTTTATAATATTATTAAATATCTAGTAAATTGCGTAAATGGCTCGTAGGCAGAGTGATTGCCTCACTAAGTATTTATTAAATACTTACGCAACTCCATTCCAATGTGTTGCAGGTAAAAGATTTGTGTGATCGCGGAATCAAGGCTGAAGAGGGGGATGATAGGATGTTTACTGTTTTATTGTTTTGCATTATTTTTGCTAGACTTGTTTAATTATTATTTGCTTTAATTATTTATTTGTTATTTGTTGATGATTTTTATTTATTTATTTATTTAAAGACTTCGCTAGAATTGTTATTTAATTATTTATAAAAAAAAAAAAATGTTGGTTGTTTCATTTTGGTATCAGAGCCTAGACGGTTTTAGGACTGTTAGAATTGCTAGGCTTTAGTATCATCCCCTTCAGCTACAAGAGATTCCGCGGTGAGTTTATGTTTGTTTTGAGTTTTGGTTGCGTGTTCTAGTGTGCTCTTTTTGGTTCCATGAGTGAGATGGACTGAGTAGCTAGAGGTTGTGGCGCGAGAGGGCGCGGTGCTGAGGCCGTGGTGGCAGAGCTAGAGGCCGTGGAGGTGGGGCCGAGATTGTGGACTTCGGCGGATTCGGGAGAGAGTGTGGTGCCGAGTGTGGCGACTGCGTCGGTGACCCAGTCGGTATCCGTGGCGAGTGAGGCCAGTGTGGATGCGAGTGTTGGTTTGGGAGCGGGGCTGCTCCGGGTTGGGGTGGTGCCTGGCTCAGGGTCTTGATGACTTAGTGGTGGGTTTGCTGACGCAGTTATTGGCTCGTTTTCCGCCAGTGGTTCCACAAGGGGCTCCGGGAGTACCTCCAGTGGCAGAGGTGCAGCAGAGGGCTGCGGGATTTGTTCAGCCGCAGGCTGTGGGTTTGATGGTGCCGTCCTACTTGGATATGTTGGGGCACATGCAGAGGATTGGTATGCCGTACTTTGAGGGCGGAGTTAGCCAGAGGCGGCAGATGAGTGGCGTCAGAGATTGGAGCGGAATTTCCAGTCTATCAGATTTCTGGTTTAGTACCAGGTTGAGTTGGCAGTCCACTATCTGAGTGGAGATGCACATTTGTGGTGGCGGGCCATCGAGGGCATAATGGTTGTTGTTGCTGTGTGTTGTTCATTTATCTGTGATAAAATTGTGGAGGTTCTCAACGCATGTGTTTGTAATGACCTTGTTAGTGGGCGGTTTTGAGTCCCACGTTTTATTCGACTCTGGAGCATCGAATTGCTTCATTACACCGGAGCGTGCCGAGAAGAGTGGCATCCGGAGTAGCGCGGGCGAGAGCGCGGGCATGGTCAAGGTGGCGGGAGGTGGATTCTTGTCTACTTTGGGCCGTGCTAGAGGAGTCGAGATCGAGATTGCGGGGCAGTCAATGCCAGCAGACTTAGTCATCAGTCCGGTGGAGCTGTATGACGTTATTCTCGGGATGGACTGGTTGTCACACTACAGAGTTCATCTGGATTGCTACAGAGGTAGAGTGGTCTTCGAGCGAGATGCAGGGAGGTTGGTTTATCAGGGAGTGAGACCGACTTCCGGGAGTATTGTGATATCTGCTATTCAGGCCGAGCAGTTGTTAGAGCGGGGCTGTGAGGCGTATCTGGCGACGATTTCTATGTCTGAGTCAGGAGCTGGAGTTGTTATGGGAGATATTGAGGTTGTCCAGGATTTTGAGGATGTCTTTCAGTCACTGAAGGGATTACCACCATCTCGGTCTGATCCTTTCACGATTGAGTTAGAGCCGGGGACAGCACCGATATCGAAGACGCCTTACAGGATGGCGCCAGCTGAGTTGGCAGAGCTGAAGAAGCAGATAGAGGACCTTTTGTCTAAGGGGTTCATTCGACCGAGTGTTTCACCGTGGGGAGCACCGGTGTTGTTTGTGAAGAAGAAGGATGGAGTTTCAGACTTTGTATCGATTACAGAGGTCTTAACCGAGTCACTGTGAAGAACAGGTACCCACTCCCGAGGATTGATGAGTTGTTGGATCAGTTGAGGGGTGCTACTTGGTTCTCCAAGATTGACTTGGCATCGGGGTATCATCAGATCCCGATAGATGAGGCAGATGTCAGGAAGACTGCTTTCAGGACGCGTTATGGGCATTTTGAGTTTGTGGTTATGCCTTTCGGTTTGACTAACGCGCCGGCAGCCTTCATGAGATTGATGAACGACGTGTTCAGGGAGTATTTGGACGTGTTCGTCATCATTTTCATTGATGATATTCTGGTATACTCGAGGAGTCAGGAGGAGCATGCGACTCACTTGAGGTTGGTTCTGGAGAAGCTTCGGGAGCAGAAGCTTTTTGCTAAGTTGAGCAAGTGCAGTTTCTGGCAGCGAGAGATGGGATTTCTTGGCCACATTGTTTCTGCAGAGGGAGTTTCTGTGGATCCGGCTAAGATTGAGGCTATCAGAGATTGGCCTAGACCTAGTAGTGCCACCGAGATCAGGAGTTTTCTGGGTTTGGCAGGATACTACAGGAGGTTCGTCAAGGGGTTTGCTACCATGGCGCAGCCGATGACGAAGTTGACTGGGAAGGATGTCCCGTTTGTTTGGTCAGCTGAGTGTGAGGAGAGCTTTAGTCAGCTCAAGGAGATGTTGACTACTACACCAGTGTTGGCGTTACCCGAGCCAGGGAAGCCTTACATGGTGTATACAGATGCTTCAGGCATTGGTCTTGGTTGTGTGCTGATGCAGGAGGGCAGAGTGATAGCATATGCTTCGAGACAGTGGCAGGGCAGTGAGCGTAACCGTCCTACACATGACTTAGAGTTGGGAGCAGTGATCTTCGCGTTGAAGATTTGGAGGTCTTACTTGCTAGGTGAGACAGTACAGGTCTTCACGGATCACAAGAGTTTGCAGCATATCTTCACTCAGCCGATGATGAACGCGAGACAGACGCGCTGGGTTGAGTTCTTGGCGGACTATTGATGGCGGGTTTAGATTGCCTCAAATTTTCACAATTTATAAACCCAACTAATGAGCTGCAAGTGCACAGCCGTGTTGTAGTCGGGGTCGAACACGAGGAGGAAGTGTTCTCGCTTAACACCTTGTGAGATTGGTTTGTAGCTAGCTCGCAATATGAGGTGGTTTTGGACCTAGAATGAGAAAACAAAACAAAAGAAATGTGAGTGAGTTTGTAAACAATTTAAAACAAGAGTTAGGCAAAGGACAATCATATGGAGCAATGATGAAAAGATAGTTGCATGGGATGTGTGTAGAGCCGTCTTGAACATGAATCACTAGTGTATGGTCTTTCCACTGTCGTGGCTCCAACCACTATGTTTAAAACAACCTAATATACTCAGCTTTCGTTGGCTATTAGAATTGCAAACATGCATTACAAGGTTCAAGATTCAATTGTTCACAATAAACCATAACTCAGCTTTCGTTGGCTATGATCTATTGCTCACCAAATACTAGTTTTGAGATCTAGATTCAGCACTGTCGTGGTTCTATTTCTCTAAGATCAGATTACTAGATGTACGGTAGAGTAATCATGCATTAAGCTCAAGTAAAGGTGAAGATCCATAAGATAAATCCCAATAAGTTGCAACACAATCAAATCATCACGGCCACCATAGATCTCCTCGGCCTAACTAAGAGATCTACTCGGCCATGATGCAAACAAGCAAGCAAAGCATGATTGTAAACATTATGCAAGTATTAAAAGAGATAAAGGGATGAAGAAAGCTTCTCTATTGATGAACAAAGTCGGATTCTCCCTTGAAAACTCTTAAGATCAAGTTTATAGAAATGGAAACAATGAAAAAGAAAGAACAAGAGTTGAGCGGCGCCTCCTTCTTCTTGGACGATCTCCTAGGGCTTCTCTCTCTTCTCTCTCTCTCACACGTGAACTCTTTGTAATTTTCGGACTGGACTCTCGATCTCTCTTCTTCAGCGGCTAAAAACATGTATATATGGGCGAAGTCGCGTAGGGTTTTCTTCATGCCGGAAAAGGAAAGTTTCCATGCGCCGAGCCTTCTTCTCCACGTCGTGTATGGGCCGACATTGTACCAAGGAAAGCTCCAAACATTAGCCAGGCCTCTTCTCTATTCGATCAAGGCCTTTGGCGCTGCTGCTCGGGCCATTAGACACTCCAAATCCTCCATGGGCTTCGTTTACTCGCTTACCGGACATGTCTCGGTAGAAAATAAGTCTAGGCCTCATAGTTGATCCAAATGGCTTCATTCCACTTCGACGTGATGCATGACTCAAGTATCTATCTTTCCATATCAAGATCGTAACTTTTGGACGTCGGGAACTCCTCCGCGCGCGGCCAAACTTCCGAAGCTTCGTTCTGCGCGCTAGCGAGAACTAACACTTGGAGATAAAATGATCTTCTTGACTTGGAAACTTGCATGGATCTTGATTTAGGGCTCTTTTACTCCTTTTTGCATCCTTTTTGATTATTTCACCTACAAAGACTTCAAATCCCACAAATACAAGAAAACTACCTCTAAAGGCAAAGAATCTTGCAAAAACCGTTTGAAAACATAGTAATTATATAGTAAAATCATGTAAAATATGGTGATATCAACTCCCCCAGACTTAGCCTTTTGCTTGTCCCCAAGCAAACTAAGCAGGAAAAGAGGTTTGAAAACGTGAGAACTCTCAAATCTTTTGGAAATCCAAATTGACTTATGCTTTAGTAATCCACATGAAACAGCATTGGCAAGTTTTGAATTAAGAACAAAGTACATACCATGAGTTTTGCGATTTTCCCAAAGCGGTCCACCTCTCCTTGGACAATCCAATTCGCCACCCTTGACTCCTTTCATTTCTAAAGGTGTGGTCTCAACTAGGGAATATCGATCATCCGGCTCAGGATGTGGAGTTGAGACATCAGATTTTGGGAGAGGCTCACGCGAGCAAGTTTTCCATTCATCCGGGAGCGACCAAGATGTACCATGACCTCAAGAGGTACTATCATTGGGTCGGGATGAAGAGGGATGTAGCAGACTGGGTTGCGAAGTGCAACACTTGTGCCTTGGTGAAGGCAGAGCATCAGGTTCCGGGTGGTCTTTTGCAGAGTTTACCCATTCCAGAGTGGAAGTGGGACAGGATTACGATGGATTTCGTGGTTGGACTACCTGTTTCGAGGACTTTCGATGCTATCTGGGTGATTGTGGATCGGTTGACTAAGTCCGCACATTTCTTGGCCATCAAGAAGACAGATGGAGCTGCTGTTTTGGCTAGGAAGTTTGTGCGAGAGATTGTGAGGCTGCATGGAGTGCCAGCTAGTATTGTGTCAGACCGTGATCCCAGATTCACTTCAGAGTTTTGGAGAGCTTTTCAGGCAGAGATGGGCACTAAGGTGCATTTGAGTACAGCTTATCATCCGCAGACAGATGGTCAGTCAGAGAGGACTATTCAGACTTTGGAGGATTTGCTGAGGATGTGTGTGTTGGATTGGGGTGGCCATTGGGCAGATCACCTGAGCTTAGTTGAGTTTGCATACAACAACAGCTTTCAGGCGAGTATTGGCATGGCTCCATTTGAGGCTTTGTATGGGAGGCCATGTAGGACACCCCTATGCTGGACCCAAGTGGGGGAGCGCAGCATGTATGGAGCTACTTATGTTCAGGAGACGACAGAGAAGGTTCGTGTTGTGAGGCTGAACATGAAGGAGGCTCAGGATAGGCAGAAGAGTTATGCAGATAGACGCAGACGAGAGCTTGAGTTTCAGGTTGGAGATAGAGTTTATCTCAAGATGGCTATGTTGAGGGGTCCTAACAGATCCATAGCAGAGAACAAGCTGAGTCCGCGTTTTATGGGTCCGTTTCCAGTAGTGGAGCGAGTTGGGCCATTGGCTTACAGGCTGGAGTTGCCTGAGATTATGAAAGCCTTTCACAAGGTTTTTCATGTGTCGATGCTGAGGAAGTGTCTTCACCCTACAGAGGAGTTAGTGGCTAGGATTCCAGAGGATCTTCAGCCAGATTTGACAGTGCCGGCAGTGCCTGTGAGGATTTTAGAGAGGAGGGAAAAGGTTCTGAGGAACAAGAGGATTCCCTTACTGAGGATTTTGTGGGATTGCAGTGGTTCTACAGAGGAGACTTGGGAGCCAGAGGCAAAGATGAAGTTGAAGTTCAGGAAGTGGTTCGACAAGCAGGTCGAGGAGTGAGCTTATTTCATCTTTGTAGCCTCAGTTGTTATTTTTGGCTTTGGTGTTATTGTATTTTCGTTTTCGTTGTAACGATATACATTTTGGAGTTTTAATGAGATGCAGTTTTCCTCATTTTGTCTTGTGTTGTTTAAATGGATTTCGGATGTTACACAGTGTTTGACCAGTTTTTGGTTGTGAGACGGTCTAATCTTATGGTTATAGACATTTTTCCAGAATTTTTACTCTAAGGATTGCGATCCTGAATAACTCATCATGTTTTTGGAGACTTCGTTCTCTGGCAGACTCTCTGGGTGCAAGTAGGCCTCAGTTGAGTGTAGCTTATCTGGGTGCAAGTGGCCTCAGTATAAGCAGTTTGTTCATCTGGGTGCAAGTGGCCTCAGTATGGACGGTTTCGGGTTCGTCTGGGTGCAAGTGGGCCTCAGTGCGGACCGGTGTGGACTTGTCTGGGTGCAAGTGGGCCTCAGTACAAGTGGTTTGTGTGTTTTGGATGATGAGTTAGGAGTGAAAATTTCTTGAACGTGTTTATGACATAAGATATGACGTTTGTCTCGGGGATCAGGTGAGGATCTCCAGTGTTGCGGCCTTGCGAGGTCAGGTTTTGTGACGTTTGTTTTGGGGATTCGAGGACGAATCCAGTTTAGTGGGGGAGAGTTGTAACATCCGTAGACCAAAGAATTGTGATTTTTCTTTAGTGTCGGTCGACACCAGGGTGGTGTCGGTCGACACCAATGGTTAAAATCGATTTCTGGTTCAATTTAAGTCAATTGAAATCCGGTTTAGGCCCGGTTTAGGGCGGAAACCCTTGGGTCTCGAATAAAAGTCGCGCAGCCGCTTCTTCTTTTCTCTGTTTGGTCGTTTTGTGGAGAGTTTGGAGAGGAGAAGAGATTTGAGGCGATTTGAGGTGTTGGTCGATCGATTGGAGGCTGATTCGTCGTTGTTTCGGAGCCTGAGTCATCGTTGGTGGCTGCTGCGTCGCTGTTCTTCGTGTTCTTCACTATCTCCTTTGATTTCTCCTTCTTTTCAACCTAGAATCAAGGTGAGTGCATGACTGTGGGTCCGTGATTGCTAGATTCAGGATTTGTATGTGTTTATGTGGTGATTTCGTGATGATATTGATGTTTGATTCAGTGTTTATGGTTGTTTGAGTGATTTCCTGCGAATTTCGAGTTTCAGATACTGTTCATAGTCCGATCTGGGTTTTTCCAGCATCGGTGTCGGTCGACACCAGAAGGCTTGTGTCGGTCGACACCAAGCTGGTGTCGGTCGACACAGACCGGTTAACTCTGGTTAAAATCAATTTAATTGGTTTAATTGAATTTGGCTGGTTTAAATCAATTGGAGATGGTTTAATCAATTTTGGTTGGTTTAATTCGTATTTAATTAATTAATGAGTATTTTAATTGATTAAATGGTTAAAAATAATTATTTTAATTATTTTAAAATATGAAAATTATTATTTAATTATGAGAATTATTTAATAATTGAGAAATTGAGTTTTAATTATTAAAAATCATTTAATCATTGGAAAATGGAATTTAATAATTATTGGAGTTTATAATAATTATTTAAATGTCTAGTAATTGCGTAAATGGCTCGTAGGCAGAGTGATTGCCTCACTAAGTATTTATTAAATACTTACGCAACTTCATTCCAATGTGTTGTAGGTAAAAGATTTGTGTGATCGCGGAATCTAGGCTGAAGAGGGGGATGATAGGATGTTTACTATTTTATTGTTTTGCATTATTTGACTTGCTAGTACATCGTGTTTAGGTTGCTTGTATTTCCTTTAATTATTTATTTGAATTTATTTGTTGACCCTGATTTATTATTAGTTATTTATTTAAAGACTTCCGCTGAATTGTTATTTAATTAATTTAATAAAAAAAAAAAGTTGGTTGTTTCACATACTTCCGCGATCTGTGCACTTGCAGAGGTCTAGGAGTTTGGTAAAACCTGACTCCGCATCAAGTTTTTGGCGCCGTTGCCGGGGACTGCAGCAGTACCTTTGGAACTCGACTAGGATCTAGTCTAGAACCTTTTCCTGTTTTACTTTTCTTTTGCTTTTGAATTTTCAGTTTTTGATTTCTTTTCTTTGATTTTTGCTTTTGTTTTTGTTTTTCCCTTTTGATTTAGTTTGTTTCCTAGACTCTTTTCAGGTGCATGACTAGGAGGTCCAACAAGGACAACCTAGTTGAACATCCAGAGATAGACAAGCTTGAGAAGCAACTTAGGAAGCAAAAAGCCCAAGAGATGGCCGACGAAGCAGCTCGCGCTCACGCCGCTGAAGTGGCGCGCGCTCAAGAAGAAGGAAGAGATCCACCTCCTCCTCCTCCTAATCCACCCTGCTGGAGATGTGAATGTGCACAACCTCAAGCTGGAGCACCTACAATCGGAGACTATGACTCTGCCGATGCTTTCTTCATGGATAGAAACCCTATCCATCCACCACTTCCTGCAAGGAATGACTATGAGATCAAGCCTCAGATCATAGCATTGGTTAGACAGAACCAATTCAATGGCCTTCCAGCTGAGCACCCTCTTGATCACATAGAAAACTTTGAAGAAATTTGCAGCACTACAAGATCCAATGGAGTCTCTGCTGACTACTTGAAGTGCAAGCTCTTTTCATTCTCTCTTGGCGACAAAGCTTCAAGATGGTTGAAGTCTCTGCCAGCTCACTCCATTACCACTTGGGATGAGTACAAGGCCGCTTTCATCAACCACTTCTACACCAAGCAAAGATCAATTTCTGTAAGGAACAAGATCTCCAACTTTCGCCAAGCCAACAATGAATCTTTCTATGAGGCGCTAGACCGATTCAAGGAGTACATTAGGGACTGCCCTAATCATGGTTTCAATGAGGGAAACCTATGGAACATCTTCTATCGTGGCATAGACCACAAGTACAAGCTTTCATTGGACACTGCAAGCAATGGAAACTTCATGACCAAGACTGTTGATGAAGCTAAGGTTCTTATTGAGAATCTTGCAGCTAGTGATTGTAACAACTGTCCTGATTATGACCGCTCAAGCCGCACCACTACTAGCTCCCCTGATTCTTTTCAAATGACTGAACTCAAGAACATGATGGCTCAAGTTCTTAAGGGACAGCTCAAGCATATCAATGCAATAGAAGGGATGAGTGATGCTAATGAAGACCCATCAAGAGAATGCATGGGAGATTTCTCTAATGAAGCCAATGAAGAAGATGTGAACTACATTGGAAACTATGGGAACAAGGGATACAATCCAAGCTATCGCCCAAACCCCAACATGTCTTATAGAAACCCCAATGTGGAGAATCCTCAAGACCAAGTGTATCCTCCAAGGTATCCACAACAACAAAGACCTCCTTACCAATCTCAAGGAAGTCAATTTCAGCCAAGGCAAGGATATGAGCAGAGATCATCATATCCGCCCAAGGAGCCATATGCTTCTTCACCAAATCAAGCTCCTCCAAACCAACAAGGTGGGAGATTTGAAGGAATCCTCCAACAGATCATGGATGGCCAGAAGAGAAACACTAAAGAGATGTATGAGAAGATGGACACTTTGTTCAGCAATCTCAACACCAAGTATGATGCTGTTGCCACTCATGTGAAGAAACTAGAGACTCAAGTCACTCAAACTATGGAAGCTGTTAAGAGACAGGAAGCTGAATCCAAGAAGTCCTTTTGCAACTCAGCCGCCATAGAAGAAAGATTTGAAGACCAAGTTCCAGAATGGATGCTTTCAAAACCTACTGTTGATTGCATGATTTGGCCTGAAGAGAATTACCCAGAGAGAGAGTCCAATCGAGCTAGAAAGAGAAGACTCTTCCCAAAGATTATCCCCAAGACAGATAACTCAGGAAAGTTTGTTGTGCCTTGTATCATCAAAGGTAACATTCTTGAGCAATCTTTGTGTGACACAGGAGCCAATGTGAACATCATGTCTAAGAGGATAGCTGACAAGATAGGCCTCACCAAGATAGAGCCATCATCCATCTCCATCAACTATGCTGATTCATTCTCACAAACCCCTATGGCTTTGTGCCTAATGTGATGGTGCAGATTGGAAATTGCTCTATCCCTACTGATTTCCAGATTGTGGAAATGAGAGAGAGTAGCCATAGACCTCTCATATTTGGAACCCCTTTCCTGTCTACTGTGGGTGCCATATTTGATTTCCCCAATCAAAGAATCTCTTTCAACAAGGTGAACAAGGGTATGTTCTTCCCTATGTGTTCAACAAAGAACTCTTTTGTTGACATGGTCCAAGAGGAGAAAGTTACTTTGAAGCCACCCCAAGAAGGAGAAACTGAAGAAACAATCAAGGAAGATCCCATTCCTAAGCCCAAGCAGCTTGCCAAACAAGCAAGGAGTAAGACTAAGGCCCCTACACCAAAACCGCCCAAGGGATCAACCAAGATTGAAGATGAGGCCAAGCCAAGAAGAAGGTTAGAAAGCCTAGGTCTGGCCGCAACATGAAGCTTCTATTCCCAAAGGAGCTTATTGATGAGAATCTAGAAGGATTCAAGGAGAAAGTGACAAGAACTCTAAAGCTTTTTCCTAAGGCAGTAGTGCCAAGGGACATTCATGGAGAGATTGTCTATCCAGCTGTGAATCACCCACCAGATACTCATTGCAAGGAGAAAAGACTTGGAGGATCAAAGATGCCTCTTGTCTCCATCTTCTCCTGAGCGCCAAGCCTTACAGTCAAGCTAAAGACTTAAAACAAGCGCTGCATGGGAGGCAACCCATGAGGTACTTTTACTTTTCTTTCTTTAAATTTCTTAGTTTTTGTTTTGCTTTTGTGTTTTCTTTGTTTTAAGATAGGATAGAAGGAGAAAAAGGTGTGAAAACACAATCCGCGCCAAAACATTGGCCGCGGACGCGCAAAAATGATTTTGGCCGAGCAATTTCCAATGGCCGACCGTCGGTCGAGCCGGGAAGGAACGGCTGCTCGGCCGGATTTCTATCGCGCGACAAAACCGTTCCACGCGGAACGCACGGGAGAGAAGAACAGGCCGCGATCGGCCGATTTTGTATCGGAACGGACCGACCGTGCCGGTCGATCCGGGAAACAAACGATCGGCCTCGGCCGAAATTCTCGCCAACGCGAATTTGGCCGACCAAATCTCATCGGCCATCGGCCCAAAACTTTTCTCGGCCAAGGTAAGTCCCCTTTTCATTAATTCAAACCGGTTTTAACCAATCCTAAACCAACTTAAACCGGTTTTCAATCAAAATTCGAATTTGAAAAGGAAAATTGATAGGACTTTAGAAAACAACAAAGAACCTCTCTTTCTTCTCCAAAACCCTAAACTCCATTAGAGGAACTCTAAGAGTTTTGATTTCAAAACTTTTACTGTTCATAACTCTAAATTGGAATTTACTTGCTCTTGCAACCTTATTCACTTTTCAACACACAAGGTATGTCTTCTAACTCTAATCCTATGTTTATGCAAGATCGAAAATTTCAATAAGTTTCTTGTTTGGTCTAAACTCTTGTCTAAACTTGAAATTAGCATCCTTATTAGTCTTGTAATGAACTTAGCTAGGTGGAACCTAGGTGGTTTAGAGTTATTTGAAGTTTAATTTCACAATTGAATAGTTTTTCACAAAACTTATTGGGCATTCCAAACCCCTTATTCAAAGGTGAAATTGCTTAGGCATACTTCAATTCATTAGTTTATCTAGTGATTACTTGGATTAGAAACTCAATTTCTCTTGATTTGCTGAAAATTTTGATTTTAAGCACCATAATCTTGGGATGAACAGTAAAATCCGAAAATTAACTTTGAAAAAGTGAAATTTCCATTTTGTCTCTTTGATTCATGATTAAGCCTTGAGTTGTTCCATTATTCCATATCATTATTACAACTCAATTAGCTTATTCTTCTTTTGCATTAATCACAAACTCATATTTCTTCCCAAGAATTTGCTCTTGTAGGTACCCAATGGCAAAGACAAAAGGAAATGAGAGTATGAAGAAGAAGAAGAACCCATTCATGGAACCACCAAAGAAACAAATCAAGCTAGGGAGTAGTAGCTCCAATGCAAGAGCAGCAATACCAACTTCACCACATTCCATTGATGCAAGTCAAGAACATGTGGAGAGTCCAAGAGGAGAAGATGATTGGGCACTTGTAACCTTTGTTGGAGAACAAATCCAAGACCCAAGAAAGTGTAAGAAGGCAATGGAGAAGGTGAACATCGAACCTGTGTGAAGATGGACACCCAAACCCTTGATCTTCTCAAGATAAGAGATGATGTCACATGGTACATAAGGAAGCTAGGCTTGAGCAAGCTCTTCAAGCTAGAATGTAGTGAGTACTCACAACTCACCAAGGAGTTCCTCTCCACAGTAGCTCTTGCCTTTCCCAACCACAATGGAGACCAACCAGCTGGTGATGGACTCCTACTCTTCAAGATAGGCGATGCCAATGGGCGCATCTCCATCTCAGCTCTATGCCAACTCTTTGGACTTCCCAATGAGACAGCACATGACTTCAAGGAGAACTCAAAGAGGAAACAAGCTGCCTTTGCTGATTGGACACACTTTGCCAATGAACCATTCTTGCCTTCAAGGTCAAAGGTGTCTAGAATCACTCATCCAGCCATTCGCTATGTGCACCGCCTCATCTCCACCACTTTCCAATGCAAACAAGAAGCCAACAAGGTCACAACTGATGAGTTCTACATCCTCACCACACCATTCATCAAGCATGAGTACAAGGCCAACCTTGGACTTTTACTTGCCAAGACATTCATCAATGTGAGGAAGCTAGCTCAAGACTTGGAAGGCAACAAGAAGCTTTGTGTTCGTTTTGGGAGGCTTATCACGGCCATAGTACAACATGTGGGGATTGACATTCCCAACTATGAGCCACTACCCAAGCCAACCCCTTTGGATCTCCATGCTCTTCAGCACATCCACTTCCTAAACCGTTGGACTAAAGACCCAACTCGGTTTTGCTATGAGTTTCCAATTGGTCCAGCCAACACTTCCCTTGTCTTGCTGCCACATGAAGACATCCCAAGCCTACGCTCAGGTGTTGTCACTTTCCAGCCCAATGAGGAAGACTTCTATGTTCCATCAAGTGAGAAACCATCATTCCCCATGCTCACCTATCGCACACTTCAGCATGCAGTCAAGACTCAACGCCGCCACCAAGAACGCCATGTTCTCACTACTGGCATGGCCGCACCAAGCTCTAGACCGTGTTAACAAGCTGGAGAAGATAGTGGAATGCCAATCTCGCTTCATCTCACGCCTAGTTCGTGTAGTTCGCCACATTGCACCGGAGAGACTCTTTCGCCCTTCTTCCACCGCTAGAGAGCCATATGAGCCTGACCTTGGTGAGTTCTCACTAGACTCAGAGCTTGGTTCAGAAGGCGATGACCCCATAGATGAGGAAGAGAGTTCTTCTCACTGCCACACATAGTCATCTCAAGTGGTACTTAGTGCAATGGACACTTACAAATCTCCATTTTCTATCCCTATCTCATTTTAATGAATTTCTCTTTATTTTTCTTTTACTTTGAATATTACCTCTCACCTTAATGTGATTTGCTTTCACCGGGACGGTGCAAGTTAAGTCTGGGGGGAGTTTTATTGTGTTACTAATGCATTTTTCTTTCTTTTCTTATGTTTTATTACTTTGTTTCATGTTTTTCAAAAAGTTTTATTGAGTCAAAAACCAGTCCGGAAGTTATGAACTTGCTTTGAGAATTGAGAGTGTTGTGCTAACAATCCATGACCCTAGAGCAGAAACCAGCTAAAGGCACAAGCCTAACAGAAGCTCTTACAGTGGATCGACATGCTAGCTCAGCAAAATTTCTAAGGTAACCAAGCAATCTAGAGTTAACCTCACCCTTAATCAATCTTAATACTCTTGTCAAGGGGATTGGCATACATGTCGACAGTTCCTTGCTTGATTTTCAATAAGATTTGTCTAATCTTTAAAGAGTTCTCCTCTCTCTCCCATCCCAAATGGTAAGTAATGTTTATGAGAAAAAGCTCAAAGAGCACAAGGAAAACAAGTAAGCATGAGGAATGCATATGTCTGTACCTTCATGTCTTATGGAATACCTTAGTCAAACAAGGAACAAGCTAAAGACTTATCCTGTGGTTGAAAGAAGGGTCAATAGAAAAAATAAAATGATACCCTAGAAAAGTAGGGAAATTGACCTTTCAAAGTTCTGATGTGAGAAAGAGAGAGGAAAAGAACTCATTGCACTTAAAGACAATCTTGGAGAAGATCAAGTGGGTAAGAACAAGTTCAATTGATCGATGTCCCTTGATAAAGAATTCACGCTTTAAATTTATGCAAGAGGTTAGCAATAGAGAGTTTGGATTGCTGGATGAGACTAGTTGGGTTGGTATTGTTCGCTAAACTTGCAGGGTGTATGTGAAGCTAACCTTATGTTGTCTATGTTCATAGTGGAATACAGGAAAGGAACCTTTCACAGGATATTCAAAAGAGCAAGGGAGCTTCCACGTTTTCAAACCTCTTTCACGGATTTAGATTCTTTTTGCTTGGGGACAAGCAAAGATCTAAGTCTGGGGGAGTTGATATACCTCTATTTTACATCTTTTTATACTGTTTTAGTATTGTTTTCTAATGGTTTTTGGCAGGTTTTCTATCTAAAAAGGTAGTTTTACTGTGTTTATAGTGTCTAGAGTCTAAACAGGTGAAATGATGCATTTTGGAGCAAAACCATAGGATTTGCACTTCAAGCCGCTCCATGCACAAGCACCAACTTTAAGAGGGCCCAGAAAAAGATCTACTCAATGGATTTCATCAAGACCAGTTCCCTGCGTGCTCTGATTGAGTTAACTTTCCAACGCAACTGGAACGGCCTATTTGGATGAGTAGAAAAGGAGTTACAACCAAAAGAGTGAAGACTGTCCAGACGGCTCTATCGAGAATCAGCGCCCAAACCGCGCAGTCCGGCTGGCCGAGAAACGTGTTCCGCTCGGCCAAAACATCCGTCCGTCTGAAGTCTCGGCCAAAGTCCAAACCATCGGCCGACGCATCACGACCCGGGAAACATGTCCCGCGGTCGGCCAGCCAAACCACTCACGCCATGCCGCGCACGACCATGCCGCGCGAGCCGGGAACAAGCCTCGCGGCCGCGCAACCTTCTCGCGTACCACGGCCGATGCGCCGTCCGAGCCGGGAAAGACGTCCCGCGTCCGGCCGAGAAACATCGGCCAAATCTCATCCCGTCCGACCACGCCGACCACCGCGAATCCGTCCGGCCACGACCGTTCCGACTCGACCACAATGACCCGATCTCCGGCCGATCGTCCCGACCGACCGTCCCAACGCCGCGGTCGACCCGAAGCCCGTTTTGAAGCCCATTTCATATTTTCAAGCCCGGCTTAACCCTAAGCCGCCTCTAAAAGACCTAGCACTATATATATAGCTTTTTAGCCTCTTGTGAAAGAGAGCCGCCCTTGTATTTCGATTTCCTACTCTAAGTTTTATTGCAATCATGTTTTCTTCATCTCTATGTGTGTTTGCTTTGATCATGTCTGAGTAATCCACTAGTTAGGTTGCTAGGGTTACTATTCAATGAGTTGCTTGCATGATCTTTGATTTCAATGATTAGCTAGGGATTATATTAGAGTCTTTGTCTCGTCTTGTGCACTTAACTAATGCTGATTGCTTTACCGCGCATCTAGTAATCCGATCTTAGGTTGATTTGAGCCTCGACAGTGTTGTATCATTCGCCGGACATATTCTTTGACAAGCTAGGTTTCTTAGACTGCGAAAGTTGATCTACTATAATCTAGTGAACTGTATCAGAACCTATTCATTCTAAAGCTTGATTTAATCACCTAGGGACATACCAAAAGTTTAGCGACTAGGTAGATTAACAAAGGAGCCGGAGCCTCGAAAGTGGAATGGTTTTATATTCGTGATCTGTGTTCTAGACGGTTCTTAATATCCCAATATCCCTAATCAATTCATCTATCATTGTTTCATTGATCATTGCTTGCTTCTCTGCGATAGCCCCTATGACCTAGCGCTTTTCCTTATTGATTTACAACCTCGTTATACTTGCTAGTTCGGTTCACCATTACAACCTCAATCATACTTTTGTTTTAGCTTGATCCAAAATCCATAGTTTCAAAGTGTACTCAATAGCCAGTCCTTGTGTTCGATACCCATACTTCCGCGATCTGTGCACTTGCAGAGGTCTAGGAGTTTGGTAAAACCTGACTCAACATCAAGTTTTTGGCGCCGTTGCCGGGGACTGCAGCAGTACCTTTGAGGCTCGACTAGGATCTAGTCTAGAACCTTTCCTGTTTTACTTGCTTTTGCTTTTGAATTTTCAGTTTTTGATTTCTTTTTCTTTGATTTTTGCTTTTGCATTTGTTTTTCCCTTTTGATTTAGTTTGTTTCCTAGACTCTTTTCAGGTGCATGACTAGGAGGTCCAACAAGGACAACCTAGTTGAACATCCAGAGATAGACAAGCTCGAGAAGACTTAGGAAGCAAAAAGCCCAAGAGATGGCCGACGAAGCAGCTCGCGCTCACGCCGCTGAAGTGGCGCGCGCTAATGAAGAAGGACGAGATCCACCTCCTCCTCCTCCTAATCCACAAGATCCTGCTGGAGATGTGAATGTGCAACCTCAAGCAGGAGTCCAAACAATCGGAGATTATGACTCTGCCGATGCTTTCTTCACGGATAGAAACCCTATCCATCCACCACTTCCTGCAAGGAATGACTATGAGATCAAGCCTCAGATCATAGCATTGGTTAGACAGAACCAATTCAATGGCCTTCCAGCTGAGCACCCTCTTGATCACATAGAAAACTTTGAAGAGATTTGCAGCACTACTAGATCCAATGGAGTCTCTGCTGACTACTTGAAGTGCAAGCTCTTTTCATTCTCTCTTGGCGACAAAGCTTCAAGATGGTTGATCTCCAACTTTCGCCAAGCCACGTCCGAACAGTCTGGTCGACCCGAAGCCCGTTCTACGCATTTTTCACGGCCCAACTTAACCTAATGCCGCCTCTGAAGACCTAGGACTATAAATACAACTTTTTAGCCTCTTGATAAAGAGAGCCACAGTGTATCACATTTTCATACTTAGAGTTTTGGTCTAGAGATTTTAAGGAGAAGATCTCTCCTCCTTATTTCAATTTGGAGAAGTTTTCTAAACCTTTATCTATCTATTATGTTTTCTTCATCTCTTTGTGTTGTTGCTTTGATCATGTCTGAGTAATTCACTAGTTAGGTTGTGGGATTTATCAACGAGTTTATGGTTCGATAGGTTGCAAGAAATCGTTTAGGGTTTATCTTATTAAATCTTCATCTTCCCTTGAATTCATTGCTGCTTGCTTTTCTGATCAACTAGCATTATGATATGATCATGGAGGAGGTTGCTAGGAACTTGGACCAGGAAGCAGCTGGAGACCTTGTAGCTGAGGAGGAGCAGCTTGAACCTGAGGAAGTATTGGAGGCTTTGGCCATACCAACTGGTCCAGTCACTAGGTCACAAACTAAGCTGCTCAACCTAGACATTGGAAGAGTACTTAGCCGTTTGAGTCGGCAGGTTCTTGAAGTCAAGCATCCCACCTTGGTTTGTTTGATGGCCAAAGACTTAGGATAAAGAGGCAAGTGGTTCTTAGTGTGCTCTTTTTCCCTATCAAGGTTTTGTCCCTTTGGGTTTTCCTTGATAGGTTTTTAATGAGGCCTAAGACCCACTTTCAAATCCCTTCTTCATCCTTAGTTATTTGGCCCGGCCCAATCCCTTCTCCAACTCTTAGTTTTGCCGCCCAGGGCACTTGAAGGATCTCTTTTTTTATTCAAACTTCCTTTTAATGTTTTGTGTGTTTTCCGATATGGTCATGCAGCCTGTTCCATTGACTCATCTCTTCATCTCTCTTCTCTTCTCTCCTTTATATGTTCTGGACGAATCTCCCTTTCATTTTATGTAACCTTGAATGAAAAACCTATTTCCTTTGTTTACTCAAAGATCTCTTAGTGAGTTGAATCTAAGAAACCTCTCTTGGTGTGTTGAATCCGAGAAAACCCTTCAAAATAGTTGTGAGTTATATCAACTACTATAAAAGTGGTGTTGGAGATTCCTTTCCATTGGATCTCTGGTATAGCCATTCGATCCATCCTCATCAATCACCTTCCATCAATCTTTCTTCATTCCACCATCTCAATCCATTTCGCCAAGTCCATTGACTCCAATCACTCCATCGCTTCAAATCAACCTCTACTTGCTTCAAAGTGTCGATTCTCTACAAGGGGTCTATCAAGTAGTATCAGAGCCAATTTGAAGCTAAGTATCTTTGTCCCCAGAATTTCGATTTTTATTTTTATGCATCTTTGACAATTGTGACTGTTCATCTTCTGATCTAGATCTGGCCAGTTTCACTTGTTTGCATAATTTTAAAATTGTTATCATAATTTATCCTGAGCAATATCATATAGATCTATCAATCTACAAGTGTTTCCTTAATTTAGAAATTGTTAACATAATTTTTCTAAATTAATTTGCCAATTTCCCTTTGAACTCCTAACTGCCGAGAACTCTCTTAATTTTTCGGGAACTATGGTGTCTGAGAAGGAAGATGAAGAGGATTCGAACAAGAGTCTCAGTGAATACCTTCTGGAGCAAATCAAGAAGCTGATGATGGATGAGTTTGATCGGAGGGAACAAGTTAAAGAAGGGAAGCGCAAAGAGTCTAGAGATCATATCCATATCTCGGATGAGGAGAGGAGGAACGACCCTATGGCCTCAAGAAGGATGGCCGATGAGCAAGCCAATGCTTACTACGACAGTGGCCATTCCTCTCAAGGCAGTCCGCTCTAGGAGGCATCGAGATGATCCAGACCGCATGGCCGAAAATCTTGGAGGTTACAAGATCCGGATCCCACCGTTCCATGACAACAACAATCCTGATGAGTACATGGACTATGAGAAGAAGTGTGAGTTCAACTTCAACTTACACAACATATCCAACTTCAACATAGTCAAACTGACGGTCTCAGAGTTCAATGACTATGCGCTAAGGTGGTGGGAACACGTCGTGACCGCGAGACAGATTGGTGGAGCTCTTGAAGTCTCTACTTGGGAAGAGATGAAAAGAATCATGAGGCAGAGGTTCATTCCTAGCTATTATCAGAGAGAGCTACATTCTAAGCTCAGGAGGCTCACTCAAGGAACCAAAACTGTTGAGGAATACTTCCAGGAGATGGAGGTTATGATATTGAGGGCTAATGTTATTGCAGACAGAGAGGCCACTATGTCTCGGTTCATTGGAGGGTTAAACCGCGAGATCCATGATGTGGTGGAAATGCAAAACTGTGTGGGCTTAGAGTCTATGCTCCACAAGGCCGTCCTTGCTGAGCAACAGCTGAAGAGAAAGACACCCTCACGCTTTGGAGCTGAACAACGCAGGCCGATGTATCCAAGAGACTCCAAACCGGCGTTCACACCAAAATCTGAGCCAAGAGGAACCTCTTACAGTCAAGACAAGGACAAGAGCAAGACCAGCTCAACTCCTGGCCCTAGAGCTCGTGAGCTTAAGTGCTTCAAGTGTCAAGGCTTTGGACACTATGCCTATGAATGCCGCAACAAGAAGATGATGATTATAAGAGACAATGGAGAAGTGGAGTCTGAAGAAGAGATCATTGTCTACAAGCCAGAGCAAGAGCCTGAGCAGGAAGAGTATGAGGCCGTTCCTGTCATAGGAAAGCTCCTGGTTGCCAGAAGGATCTTAAGCGCTCAGGTCCAAACTCCAAAGGAAGCCCAGAGAGAGAATCTCTTCCATTCACGCTGTCTTGTCCAGGAGAAGGTGTGCAATCTCATTATTGATGGAGGAAGCTGCACTAATGTGGCTAGTGAGGCCATGGTTGAAAAAATTGGTCTTGTGACTCAGAAACATCCCAAGCCATATCAGTTGCAATGGATCAATGAGACTGGAGACATGAGTGTGAAAGAGTAAGTGGTTGTTCCATTGTCCATTGGAAGCCATGAAGATGAGATTTTGTGTGATATCCTGCCAATGGATGCTGGGCACATCATTTTGGGAAGACCTTGGCAATCTGATAGGCGAGTGATGCATGATGGTTTCACAAACAAGTATACCTTCCTGCACAAGGGGCGCAAGACCACTCTTATTCCTTTAACCCCTCAAGAGGTGTATGAAGATCAAGTCCAGCTGTGCAGCCAAAGGACCAAACCTCAAGCCAAAAAGGAGCCATCCAATCCGAACAAGTCCTTGAACTATCTGGTCAAGTCCACACAGGTTAAAAGTTCCATGTCATCTGATAAGCCTTTTCTCTTGTTTATCTTTAAAGGATCACTTAACCCTCTTGTTGATAATGCACCGGAGATTCCGAGTGAGATGTCCAAACTTTTATAGGATTTCCAGGATGTGTTTCCAGATGATTGTCCCAAGGGATTGCCACCAGTCAGAGGCATTGAGCATCAAATAGATTTTGTTCCTAGATCCACACTTCCAAACCGGCCGGCATACAGAACCAATCCTGTTGAAACCAAGGAACTCCAGCGCCAAATTGATGAGCTTATGGACAAGGGTCACATCCGGGAAAGCATGAGCCCTTGTGCTGTTCCTGTTCTTCTTGTGCCCAAGAAAGATGGGAGTTGGCGCATGTGTGTGGATTGCAGAGCCATCAACAATATCACTGTAAAGTATGGACATCCTATCCCTAGACTTGATGATATGCTTGATGAGTTGCATGGTTCTAGCATTTTCTCTAAGATTGATTTAAAAAGTGGTTATCATCAGATTAGGATGAAAGAAGGTGATGAGTGGAAAACTGCATTTAAAACTAAACATGGTCTATATGAATGGCTTGTCATGCCATTTGGTCTCACTAATGCACCTAGTACATTCATGCGCCTAATGAATCATTGTGAAACTTCATTGGTCATTTTGTTGTGGTTTACTTTGATGACATTTTGATTTACAGCAAGAACCTTGAAGAGCATCTAGATCACCTTGCATCTGTTATGACTGTGTTGAGAAAAGAGAAATTGTTTGCCAATTTTAAGAAATGTACTTTTTGCACAGATAATGTGGTTTTTCTAGGCTTTGTTGTGAATGCAGATGGAGTCAAGGTGGATGAAGAGAAAGTTGCTGCCATTAGAGAATGGCCGAGCCCTAAGACAGTGAGTGAAGTCAGAAGTTTCCATGGCCTAGCTGGGTTCTATAGGCGGTTTGTCTGTGATTTTAGTACCTTGGCCGCACCTCTGACTGAAGTCATCAAGAAAGAAGTTGGATTCAAGTATGAGAAAGCACACTGTTTTATATCGAATTTTATACTAAATATATATATATATATATATGTATATATGTATATTAAATTTTCATACCTTTCAAATGGTCTTAGTTGATCGCAGTTCCACAAAACATATGTATATGCGATATAATAATCTTCTTCCTTGAACCATGTTTCTTTTTCTTTACCACTTCCTCTTCCAGGTTGAGAAAATATATCTGGTATTGCTTCAACCAGTGTATCTTCTGGATTACCTCCATCATAGTGTCGATCTTCTCTCCGGGTTTTTGTCTTAATGTGAGACTCAAAGTAATAACTACAAAAGGTAGAAATTTCTTCATTGATGTATGGGAGAATTTCCACATATAACCCAAAATTTGTTTTTTTCTATAACCATAACCCGAAATTTGAATGTATTGCAAAACTAACCTGTTTGGGTAGCAAAATTACAAAGGTCACCCTCATGAACAAACAAAACAAAATTGCCGCGATTACCAAATTAACCCGGAGCGTAGGTCTACGTTTGTTGTCTACCTCTCGCCCTTTATAATAGGTCTACGTTGTATTTGAATTTTATATTTTAATTGGGAAAAAATTAAAAAATTATTTGATAAAACCATTTACATACATAAATCAGAAAACGTCATTTGCATCTTGGAAAATTAGAATTGCATACAAATGAGTCAATTTAAACTAACATAGGCAAATTAGTTTGGAAAGCTATAAAAACCTGTGAAGTCTACGGAGGAGGTCTACGGTTTAATTAAATTAAACTTTTAATTTATAAAATAAGTAGAAAATATATAGATGAAAAAATTGTATTCATAAACAAGACAAAGACAATTAGAGTCCATATAAAATAAGCACACATGTTAATAAGTGAATTTAGGTTGACAAAAACAAATTAGGTTAGAAACTTGTAAAACCGTGAGAGGTCTAGCAATGAGGTCTACATGAAAATGAAATCTAAGAAATAAATTGTAAAATTGATAAAAAAATAATTTGATTAAAAACTTGTATGCATAATTAATTCTTATACATTTGACATCTATTAAAAATAAATCATACGAAAAATGAATCAATCTATAAATGTCATGAGTAAATGTTTCAAATTGATAAGAGTTTGGATAGATAGTTTAGGGTTTAGTTGTCTAATTCTTAGGGTTTAGATAGTTTCAATTTGAATTTTTGTTTTTGGTTGGTTTTTTTATCTACATTTAATATTTTTGTTATCTTAACCATAAATACTGTAAATGACAAACAAAATTGATATTCGGTTCATGTTTTTTCAGAAAATTTGTAGTTTAGGGTTTTGTAGACCTCATCTGTAGACCGTACAAGAAGATGAAATTGAAATAACCAAAGAGATAACCAAAGTAAACCGGGAAATTTATGTTCTCCAATAAAAGAAAAAAAACCCTAGGTTTTGTTAGAAAAAGAAAAAAACCTCTTTCTTCAGATGGCTCTCTCTCTCTCTCTTCTCTCTCCTTTTCTCGCTTCCCTCTCGAACCTCAAACTCACTATCTCGCTTCCCTCTCGCCTTTGCCTTCTCGTTCTCGCCGTCACCGTCTCGCTCTCGTTCTGTCATCAAACGGCGCGCTTTCTCGCTGTGAAATGTCGCCACCTTCTTATTTTCTTCTTCTTCCTCCATCTCCGTGCAGTTTCCGCCGCATCCACCTCCGTCGTTGCCGCATCCAGTGCCATCTTCGCGTCGAGTCAGTTTCCATCACCATTGTCACCGGTAAACCATGTTCTTCTCTCTGTAACAGATCTGGGTTTAGATCTGAACAATAACATGTTAGATTATTTTCCAAGCAGGCTTTGAATCCGTTCGTTGATGCGTTTCAATGACCGAGGGGAGAAGTACATCCGCAGATGCGTGAGGCTGATTTGTATTCATCACCGAAAAAGAGCCTGAAATTGCAAGAGGCGTGACCGCTTGTTTCTCACTTATAACTTTGTGAGCTATCTAAATTTCTCTCTTTCATCATCTCGGCTCTTTTGCTTTGCTATTTACTTTTGTTTTCTGGTTGAATTACATCTCATAGACCCTTATGAAATAAATAGTAGACTGCGTGTGAACGCTGCGTAGTCGTCCGGGAACTCCTCGTAGACCTCCGACCTTATTTCTCAGCAGGCTTGGACACCTAACGAAGAGCAAACAATTACAACATTGTTGTAATGAAAACTAATAAAAATGTGAGACGCACGAAGATTACACAGTACGGGCGAGTATATCCTGGTTGCTTGCATTTGGAGCAGCTGTATACTTTGGGCATCTTCCTTCGTCTTTTGTCTTTCTTCCTAGACTTCCTAGACATTTTCCAGCCATGAATGCCATCTTGATTTCTTCTTACGACCAGGCCCATCCTTCGGTTTTGGAGGTCGGCGCCGCTCGCTCTTTTTCTTGTGGTTGTCAATTTCCTCCTCATCGAATCCGCAATTTGTCTAAGAACAATTCCATCTATGAGTCCAGTCCGCTCCACAAATAGTTGTCCGATAGCTCGTCTACGGTGAGCTACTCGATTCCATCAGCACTATCATTGTCATGATCTCCATCAGATTCATCTTCTGAATTTACATCCCATGCTTTGTCATTCCAGTCTATATCATCAGAGTCGTTATCATCCCAGCCTTCATCACCGAATTCTTCTTCCACGTGTTCTTTATCCACCTCTTCAGATCTTCTTGGACACACTCATGTATTGGTTCGTTGTAGTTCCTTCCCATACCAACGCGGGTCGAGACGCAAAGACGGACCACATGCTCCTTACATAACTCACCAAGCTCCCAACTTGTCTGTCGTTCGTCACATACATAGGAGGTGAATCCGTAGGCAATTTCTCCATCATAGCAGCTGGTAATGGATATGACAACTCCAGCAGCTCGCCATTCACTTGCAACATATAGTCGTTCACAACCATTTCAACCAGCTCTTCATGTGTACAATCATCCTGCAGGTAGAACATTCTACCTCCTCTCGTTTTCTCAACCTCAAAATACCATTTTCTGTCTCTGATAGTCCATGCTCCATACACGGATGCCAAACAAACCATGATCTGCATGAAAACCAAAGGGAAAACACATTAATATATATTGATGGATGCCTGTAGACGGAAACGTAGACCTCCACACAGGCTGCGGTCTACAGAGTTTAACCAAGTTACCAAATTTAACCAAAAATCTAATACAACCTTCATTACATAACATTAGCATGCAAAACTCTCATAGGGACAAGTTATTAGGCTAACAGAAGTATTTATGAAAAAAAATTAACAAAAACAATTATAAATTTCGCAGAAAATCGATTTTAAAAAACGGAAAAAATGTAGACCTCCAACCAGATCTCAGACGTAAACCTACTAAAGAGGTCTAAAAAAGGTTAGTTTTGCAATTGACCAAGGGAAGACTTTTTTGAGATCTACAAATGCGGTCTACAAAAAAAGAGGTTAGTTTTGCAATTCATCCAAAAAATTTGGGTAGACCTCACGAACAAAATAGACCTCAACCTGTAGTCTAGAAAAATTATACGGTCTATGGGGGAGGTCTACGAAATCTGTAGACCTCAGACAGGTTACTTTTGCAATTGTTTGAAATTTTTTTCCACCTGTAGACCACTATCGTAGACCTCCTATTATTTTGCGTTGACCAACTTTTTAAGGTAGACCTAAGACTGAGATCTAAAACCTATGTAGACCTCTGACGTAGACGTCAGCTTAAAATTTGTTGTTATAGACCACATTAAGAGGTCTAAGGTAAAAACCAGAACTTCAGTCAATTGCAAAACTAACCTCTTTGACCAATAGACCTCATCTGTAGACCTCAAAAAAAAAGCCCTCCCTTGGTCAATTGCAAAACTAACCTGTTTTCAAAATAGACCTCTGCTTGAGGTTTACGATATTTTTTTTTGTTTTCAAAGGGATTATGTAGAACTCTCTACGCGGTCTAACTCCACAGATTTGTCTTAGTCAATTGCAAAACTAACCTCTGCGTTGACCTATAGACCTAACCCTGAGATCTACGATATCGACTCAGATCTGAAAAAACGAAAATGGAGTAAACCACAACCTGGCCGTCGTCTTTAGGGCCGCCGAGGGATGAAACTTTGTCTTTAAGCCTTCACAACCGTTCGGCGGTGGTGAGGAAAGCCACAAACCCGATTTTGAGAAAATCAAGAACTTGAAATATGGAAAAGTAGAATTAGAGAGTTTTTGGGATGAAAATGTGGAGAAAATGATAGTGTTAGAGTGTATGGGATGTGCAATTATGTTTGGAGTATCACAATTACTAGTATCAAGCATTAAAAGCTTGAAGTTAGTTGAAAATGGTGGTTGGGTTCATTGATGAGAGTGGCAGTTTCGTGAATAAGTGTAGAGGATGAGGTTCTGTTGGTCTTCTGGTCGACAACGTAGACCTCATTCGTAGACCACAGAGATAAAAGTAATGGCATTTTCGTTATTATCTGGACAAAACTGGGTAAAGCCCAAATGAAAAAAACAGCAGGTTACTTTTGCCATTGACTTCAAATTGTGGGTTAGAAGTGCAAGAATCCCTTGATGTATTGCTCAACAATGGAACCTTCTACGTTTGCCTTATTCTTCACTTTTTTCTTTAGATGGCCCATGAATCGTTCAAAACAATACATCCATCTAAACTGCACAGGTCCTCCAAGGCTAGCTTCGTGAGGCAAGTGAATCGGCAAATGCTCCATGACATCAAAGAAAGAAGGAGGAAATATTCTCTCTAGATTACAAAGAACCACACAAATATTTTATTGCATCATGGCAACTCCATCTTTGTGTATAGTCCTTGCACATATGTCTTGGAAGAATAAGCTCACACCTACAAACAAGAAAAGAGTTTGTTATATAAATATAAAGTTTTAATTAACACAGAATAACACATCAAGAAACCAAAACATAACCAAAAGCATAATTAAACAAACAAAACTTTTAGATTTTCTGGCAAATAAAATGTTGCTCTACGAACAGCCATTTTTCGGGGCAGATTCCCGTCGTCTCAAAACGATTCAGGAGACGATCTTGGTACCAATGCGAAGATATTTAAGTAGGCTTTACACAAAACCAAACTGATCTCGATTCCGACGTGTACTCCATAAGTTATGGTCTGTTTTTTCTAACAAATCATAAGTTTCTCTGTGAAAAGCCATTTTTAGGGAGATATAACCGTCGACTCAGAATGATTCAGGCGACGATCTTGGTACCACTATGAACATCTATAAGTCAGGTTTACACAGGACAAAACAGATCTCAATTCCGACGTGAACTCCATAAGTTATGCTCTGTTCTTTCTGACAAATCATATGTTGCTCTGCGAACAGCCATTGTTCCGGGAAGATTCCTGTCGACTCAGAACGATTCAGGAGATTATCTCAGTACCAAAACGAAGATATTTAAGTAATATTTAGACTGAACCAAACGGATCTCGATTCCGACGTGAACTCCATAAGTTATGGTCTGTTATTTATAACAAATCATTTGTTTCTCTGCGAACAGTCATCTTTCGGGACCTATAACCGTCGACTCAGAATGATTCAGGCCACGATCTTCGTACCAATATGAACATCTATACGTCCTGTTTACACAGGACTAAACAGATCTCAATTCCGACGTGAACTCTATAAGTTATGCTCTGTTCTTTCTGATAAATCATTTGTTCCTCTGAGAACAGCCATTTTACGAGGCAGATTCCCGTCGTCTCAGAACGATTCAGAAGACAATCTTGGTACCAATACGAAGATATTTAAGTAAGCTTTTCACAGCACCAAACACATCTCAATTCCAACGTGAACTCCAAAAGTTATGCTCTGTTCTTTCTGATAAATCATTTGTTCCTCTGAGAACAGCCATTTTTTGGGGCAGATTCCCGTCCACTCAGAAAGATTCAGAAGACAATCTTGGTACCAATGCGAAGATATTTAAGTAAGCTTTACAGAGAACCAAACGGATAGCATCCGACGTGAAATCCATAAGTTATGCTCTGTTCTTTTTGACAAATCATATGTTTCTCAGTGAACAGCCATCTTTCAGGACAGATTCCCGGCGACTCATAATGATTCAGAAGACGATTTTGGTACCAATGCGAAGATATTTAAGTAAGCTTTACACAGAATTTAACAGATCCCAGTTCCAAGTTGAACTCCGTAAATTATGAGACGTTCTTAATGACGAGGAAGAGTTTGCTAATAATCACCAAAAATGCGAAAACAAGAAAGCATACTATGCATATAACAGAACCAATAAACAAACTCACATCAACATTTCACATAAAAGCAATAAAAAGGCAGAGAAATAATATAAATTAAATGAAAGTTTAGAACTTACTTGATAGCACACTATGCACAAATTCATCTAACAGCTCGGCAAAGGCAATTGGAAGGAGTCGTTGCATTACAACATGACAGTCATGACTTTTCATTCCGGTTAACTTTCCTCCCCCCAGATCATCACAGTTAGATAAACTTGATGAATATTCTTCTGGAAATTTAACATCCTTATCAAGCCAACCCAGAAAAACTTTCTTGGCATCTCCTTGTAATCTGAAAATTGGGACTGGTGCCTTTCCATCACTCCTTATGAGCAAGTCTTTCCGATTGCAATGCTCTTGCAAATCGAGTCTTGATTTGATTATCTTTCGTTCTCCCATTCACATCCAGTAAAGTATTGATGACATTATCGAAAAAGTTTTTTTCAATATGCATCACATCAAGATTATGTCGAAGTAGATGAACCTTCCAATAAGGCAGCTCCCAAAAGATGCTTTGTTTATGCCAGTTATGGGTGTTGCCATATCCTTGAACTTTTTTTCCATGATTTCCCCCGGAAGCAACTGTTTTGGGAAAGCCACAGACTTTATTCAAGAATTCCTCGCCTGTTAGTATCGGAGGTGCACTATCCTTCACAACCCTTCCTTTTCTGAAACTGACCACATTCTGTCTATCTCCATGATCTTCAGGTAGAAAACACCGATAACAATCAAACCAACTTGTTTTTCTTCCATTCTTTAACTGAAATGCATCAGTCTTATCCAAACAATATGGACAAGCCAATCGACCATGAGTTGTCCAGCCTGAAAGCATAGCATAAGCGGGAAAATCGCTTATTGTCCACATGAGTACCGCTCGTAACAAAAAGTTCTGGTTAGTAGAAATATCATATGCTTCAACACCACTAAACCACAAATCTTTCAGCTCTTCTATCAACGGTTGAAGAAATATATCTAGACTTCTCTTTGGATGCTTTGGACCAGGTACTAGAATGGTTAGAAACATAAATTCTTGTTTCATACACATCTCAGGTGGCAGATTATACGGAGTTAAGATAACAGGCCATAATGAATAATTGTGCCCTGACATACCAAACGGATTAAAACCGTCCGTACATAACCCAAGGTAAACATTTTTTGGATTAGATGCAAAATCAGGGAACACCTTGTTAAAATGCTTCCATGCTTCTCCATCTGATGGATGACACATTTCTCCATCACTTGCAATATGTGTTGCATGCCATCTCATATGTTTTGCAGTGTTACCAGACAGATATAATCTCTTCAGTCTATCAGCTACGGGCAAATAAAACATTTGGCGGTATGCAATTTTCTTCTGCCCAATCTTTTGAGTAGGACGAAATCTGTCTTTGCTACAGAACAAACAACTTTCTTCCTTTTCAGTATCCTTCCAAAATATCATACAATTATCCTGACAAACGTCAATCTTGTGATAAGGTAAGCCGAAAGACCGCATAAGCTTCTTGATCTCATAGTATGATTTTGGTGAGTTGTTACCTTTTGGCAAATAATCTTGCATTATCTGTGCAATGGAGTCCATACACTTTTGAGACAAATTAAAATCTGTCTTCAAACTCATAAGCCGAGCTGCTAAGGAGAGTTTCGAAAGACCTTCTTTACATCCTTCATAGATTGGTTGTTCTGCAGCATCCAAAATATCATAAAACATCTTTGCTTCGGGGTTACAGAACTTACAAACGAGGAAGAGACAACGTGGAAGGAGAGTACTGCAGGATATCTCAAACTTGCCAGATGACGATGATGTTTCGTAGGACTTTCGGATGATAACCTGGATGAAGAACGACCACATAACTATCCGGATCTTTTAAACTCTGATGAAGGTGATAATATATATCATTATTTTTATACATTGTAAACGTTAGCCTAGATCTGTAACTTATCATCGTGATTTGTATTAACAGACGATGAACGAACACACACATAAGATGGTGATAATGATAAATACCAACCTTCTCCATCACATCTGCAACAAACGCATATCTCCGAACAAGAACCTCCTTCGACCGTACACATAGTTCCAACACTTCCTGAGAGTGTGATTACTCAAGAAACTGTTCAACCTTCTCCAACTCTGAAAAAACGAAAGAGAGTTAGTATGGCAAAAAAGAAAGAAACTGTACCCGATAAGATTGGTAAGCTAATTAGAAACAACGTGTCATATGTATGATGCAACAGCGAACTTTTTGTATAGTAAATCCTGATTTGTATGTTCACTGTGTTGTGCAGTATACAATGACGAGGGTGACATGACTTATTCGTGCGTGCATTGTGGTGCTAAATTTTGGTATGGAGAACGACTAAACAGAAGAAGGAGGACGGGGGATCCATCATTCAACCTTTGTTGTATGCACGGCCAAGTCAAATTGCCTTTACTAAAGGATCCTCCTGCTCTTATTAAAAAATTGCTGTTTGGGGATGATGAAATGAGCAGGCACTTTCAAAAATTTATCAGAATCTACAACATGTTGTTCTCTATGACGTCTCTCGGAGGTAAAACTGATCGTTCTATCAAAAAAGGAAAGGGTCCAAACATGTTTCAGCTGCACGGAGAAAATTACCACCTAATTGGAAGTATGCTTCCAAACCCCGGTGATTATGCAAAATTCTATCAGATGTACATAGTTGATTCTGAAAATGAATTGGACAACAGACTGAATTTTTTCAGGTAATATATTTTAGTTTAAAGCTATTGTCATAATAATTATGAAGTCATTACCAATTTAGGGTTTTGTCATTGCGTTTCAGTAAGGGGAAACACGCATCCAAGCCAGATAAGAAGAATAGACTCAGGAAGGACATCATTGATGCGCTGACAAAGATGCTCGACGATGTCAACCCCTATGTCAAGAATTTCAGGACTGCAAGAGAAAGATTCAACACTAATCCTGAAGATAGTTTTCATATGAGGATAATTAGTGATCGTGTTACAGATGGTAGAACTTACAATGTTCCAACTGTGTCTGAGGTTGCTGCAATTATTCCCGGAGATTTCAATTTAGAAATGGGTACAAGACGGGATATTGTTCTAGAGAAACGATCAGGCAAGCTGCGACGGATAAGCGAAATCCATCCAGCCTACATACCACTGCAATATCCTCTGGGGTTTTCTTATGGAGAAGATGGTTTCCGACTTGGAATTAAGAAAGCCAATGTTGAAGCTTCTAAGAAGACGAAAAAGGAAAACATCAGCGTTAGACAGTTTTTTGCGTATCGTCTAATGGTTAGACCAAACGAGTCAAATCACTTGCTACACTCTAGGAGATTGTTCCAGCAGTATCTGGTTGATACCTACACTATGATAGAGTCTAACAGATTATCCTACTTGAGATTGAACCAGACAAGTTTGAGGTCTGATAGCTATGACTCTATCAAACAAGCGGAAGACCACGGTGTTATTGAAATGGATGAACAAGGCAATAAATTTCTGCTACCTGCGAGTTTCACTGGTGGACCAAGATACATGAGGGAGTTGTATTTTGACGCCATGGCCATTTGTAGACATCATGGATTTCCAGATCTTTTCATTACTTTTACATGCAATCCTAAATGGCCAGAAATATCAAGGGATCTCGCAGGGACCCGTCTAAGTGCCACTGATAGAGCTGAACTTATTAGCAGAGTCTACCGGATGAAACTAAAATCTCTTATGGAAGATCTAACTCTCAAAAACCTGCTGGGAAAAACGGTGGCCTGTAAGTTTACGAAGCCCCTACTTTTATCGTTGATATCTGATATGCATATTCCTATATGTTGATAACTATTTATCTAACGATGAGACATGATTGGCAATGCAGCTATGTACACCATAGAATTTCAAAAGCGAGGTTTGCCACATGCACACATTCTTCTATTCATGGATCAGAAGTCAAAGCTCCAGACAACAGACGCTATTGACGATATTATATCCGCCGAAATACCAGATAAATCAAAAGATCCAGAGTTGTATGATGTTGTGAAAGATATGATGATTCATGGACCATGTGGTCATGCCAACCCCAATTCACCATGTATGAGCAATGATATATGTACTAAGAACTTCCCCAAGAGCCACGCTGAAAAGACTACAATCAATAGAGAAGGATTCCCATTATATAGGAGACGCGATCAGCCCAATGTGTTTGTGGAGAAGAACGGTTTTAAATGCGACAACAGATACGTAATTCCATACAACAAAACCCTATCCGTCCGTTATAGAGCACACATCAATGTTGAGTGGTGTAACCAGACGGGGGCTGTCAGATATTTATTTAAGTACATCAACAAAGGAGCCGATCGTGTTTCTGTTGTCGTTGAGTCAGCTGAGGAAGCCAGGAGAAAAACAAAGAGCGGACATAAGGATGTTAGTGGAGATGCCAACAGTCGATCAAATGATGAGGGTGTTAGCGCAGAGAAGAAAGCTTCCAAGGAAAATAGGAATGAGATCAAGGACTACTTTGATTGCCGGTATGCTTTATTATTTGTCTTTAGCCTCCATTTAAGCGATATGACTGTTTTCTTAGCTGTGGTCATATCATTATCTTTTATTTTAGGTACATTTCACCCTCTGAAGCTGTTTGGAGAACATTCAAATACCCGATACACCATAGATCTGTATCAGTGGAGAAACTGACATTCCACCTCGAAGGGAAACAGTTGGTTATTTACAAAGGTAGTGACAAAATGGAGAGGGTCGTAACACGTAAACTAATTGAGAAGACAATGATGCTGGCATGGTTTGAACTGAACAAGGAGTGTGAATTTGCTAGAACGCTTACCTATGTTCAGATTCCAAATTATTTTACCTACGTAAAAAGTGAAAAACGCTGGAAACGTAGAAAGAGAGGATTCAGCATTGGAAGAATCAATTACGCACCAAGGAAGATTGAAGATGCTTACTATTTGAGAATGCTGTTAAACGTCGTGAGAGGTCCAAGATCGTTTGAGGAGATAAAGACCTATAATGGTGTGTTGTACCCTGAATTTAAAGATGCCTGTTACGCTAGGGGCCTGCTAGAGGATGACCAAGAGTATATCGATGATATTTGCAGAAGAAGCTTCACATGTCCTCCATCACAACTTCGCCAGTTGTTTGTCATCATGCTTACTTCAGATAGTCTGATTTCGCCAGATGTAGTTTGGTATGCGTGTTGGGAGTTTCTTTCTGACGACATGGAGATGATTAGAAGAAGAGATCTTAATAGACCAGGTACAATATCTTTGGCTTTATTTCCTTAAGTTAAAAAAAAAAAATAGGAATCTATTTACTAAATAGTATTGTCAACGAATTTCAGCACTTACGCTAAGTGACGAAGACAAAAGGGAATATGCTCTCCAGGAGATTGTAAAGTTAGTAAAAAGGAATGGCGCTGACTGGACGAGGTTTAAAAGTATGCCTCAACCACGGGGAGTTACTTATTCAGCTACCGATAATGTTCTAATTTTTGATGAAAAGAGTTATGAAAAAGAGGAGCAGAAAACAAACCACGACAGAGACTTTGCTAAGCTTACTCCTGAACAGAAGAAAGTGTATGAGGAAATAATTGGTTCTGTTTTAGCGAGAAAAGGAGGAGTGTTCTTTGTATATGGCTTTGGTGGAACTGGAAAAACATTTTTGTGGAGGATTTTGTCTTCTGCAATTAGATACAGGGAAGAGATCGTTTTAAATGTAGCTTCAAGTGGTATAGCATCACTACTGTTACAAGGAGGCCGCACGGCTCATTCCAGGTTTGGGATACCTCTGAATCCAGATGAGTTTACTACATGTGTTATGAGCAAAGGTTCTGATCTAGCAAATTTGGTCAAAGAGTCGTCTCTTATTATATGGGACGAGGCTCCTATGATGAGTAGGCATTGTTTCGAGTCTTTGGATCGAAGTCTTTCAGACATTATTGGTAATAAAGATGGAAAGCCGTTCGGAGGTAAAGTAATTGTGTTTGGAGGTGATTTCAGACAAGTTCTTCCAGTAATACCTGGTGGTGGTAGGGCACAAATAGTAGGAGCCTCGCTGAACTCATCTTATCTTTGGAAACACTGCAAAGTTTTAAAACTGACAAAGAACATGAGGCTCTTATCTGGTAATCTGAGTGAAGAAGAAGCAAGAGACCTAAAGGAATTTTCAGAGTGGATACTCGATGTTGGTAATGGAAGAATAGCGGAACCTAATGATGGTGAAGCTGAGATCGAAATTCCTGAGGAATTCCTTATAATGGATGAAGAGGAGCCTATTGAATCTATAAGCAGGAAGATCTATGGAAGTTCCGAGGCTCTGCAGGACAACACGGATCCAAACTTTTTCCAAGGAAGAGCAATTCTTTGTCCTACGAACGAAGATGTCGACAAGATAAACCAGCACATGCTAGACAAATTGAATGGTTAGTCAGTTTCCTCAGTTTCTACTATTTTACGATTTGTAACTAACCTAAATTGATATCTATCAGGAGAGGAACGAATTTATCTCAGCTGTGATACCTTGGATCCTTCAGACTCTTCTGCCATGAATGACGAGGCTCTAAATTGCCTCTATCTGTTGCTTTTGCCATAACTATTAACAAGAGCCAAGGCCAGTCCCTGTCAGAGGTTGGAATTTACTTGCCAAGACCCGTTTTCTCTCACGGACAACTCTATGTTGCTATCTCCAGGGTTACGTCGAAAAAAGGATTGAAGATTTTGATCGTGGATAACAAGGGCAAGCCACAGAAGAAGACAACGAATGTTGTCTTCAAAGAAATTTTCCAGAATCTCTAACCATGATCTTCTGTAGAAGATCCTATTCTAGAGATCTTATGTAGAATAACTCATTCATATCGAATGAGTCACACCGAAACTATTTTTCATGAATTTTCTATCTGTAGAAGATTGAACTACATGATATCATTTTTTATTTTTACCAAAGATATTGCGATGATGATGAACGAACACATAAACGATCAACCAGATTTTAAAATATCTAATTCTTTATTCAGAAAACTATATAAGATCGAATACTCAATATAAGCACTTAGTTGAAAAAGGCGTTCACTATTTCTAGCCCATTCAAAATACGTAATTCGATTAAACGATGACAGTTAATATCAAGCCCAAACACAATGCTTACCTTACGTGATGTCTGAACTGAATCCTGTAAACGGTTAGTTAAGGTTCGTTTCTTCAAAATGCACCTACAAAAACACACAAACAGATTTTTCAAAAGAGTCATTAATATTTCCCACATAAATTAAGTATCTATATAGTAATATTTCAAAGATTATGACGTCAATCTACACTAAAATCCGAATCTAGACTTTCAGTAAATTAAATACCGGATTCTACGGTATAGTCAAATACGGAAGTTATATTTATATTAAATGCGGTCAAAAAAAAAAATCTCAACAAAATCTAATTATATTGTATTCTCGGAAAATCTCATTGCTACATAAAGATCATTACCCTTATATAAATATTCTTCCATCTTAACTCAAACCATCACAATCTCCTAAAATAATAGATCTCGAAAATTTTCCAATGTTGAACGACGTTAAACTCGCACGAGTGGGACCAAACCGTCACGATTCGAGGATTACTGTTAAAGTGTTAAAGATCTGGGATACAATTCATGTCGACACCGGTGAAGGGCTCAGTTTCCTCTTTCTCGATGACGAGGTTACTGTTACAGTTTCAAAGTAATTTTATTTTGAAACTAATTTTACATGATACGAATGGATTTCTTAATTTATTTTCACAATTGCAACAGGGAACGAAGATGCATGCATTGGTGGAAAGAAAAGATCAGCATAGGAGATTTAGGAGACTACTTCATGAAGAAGAGTGGAAGACCATATCTGGTTTCCAAGTTCGTACATTTACTCCATGGATTCGTTTGACCAAACAAAGGAAAGAGATTTTCCTCACTTCTGAGACACAAGTTGATGATGCTGACGCCTTTGATGGTTTTATTCCGTTGGATCTAATTCCATTTGGAGATGTTATGCGCTTTGGAGTTCATGCTGGAACTGTTTATCTTAGAGGTTATTTCCAACTATATATCTTTAATTTGTACTAAATCATCCCTGTGAATAAACTTATTTTGTTTTGAAGTTACATATTCTGCTTAATCGGAAGTTTCATGTTTTTTAATTGTAACAGACTTCATAGGCCAAATATTATTTTCTCATGAGTTGGGTGTCATCAAAGATCGTTCTCTTCCTAGGAACAGATTGAACCTTTACGAGAAATATACCAGCAAGATTGACTTTGTGATGCGGGACAACGTGTAAGTTTATATCTACTATATTCCTAATCTCTTTAAAATTAATTACTGGACTATGTAGTATTTATCTGAGACACACTTTTTTATTTGATTTTAGTGGCAATAGATTAAACGTTCGTGTAAAGGGACAGTTAGCAGATAAATTCAAACTCTTCTGGCTTTGTTACGCCAACTGTGGAACAAATATTGTTCTGTTAACTGACTGGCGTGTTGTTGGAAATGATGGTAAGCTCATTCGTGTTGTTATAGTAATATTCTGTAGCAGATTTTCCAATTGTCTTCTTATGTAAACTATATAACATCTTCAATTTTGATTTAATCTACAACTAGGTGGTATAAATGTTGAAAGCTCTCCTGGTATCTCTACTTTTGATTTCCATCCCACCGGACACTTAGAGGTGGAACATTTCGAGAATACATTGTAAGTTTTATAATTTGAAAGTCCATTCTTGCTAAATGACTTATCTTACATAAGACTCACTAGCCATGATCGATAATTTTTTATATTGTTTTCTTTTTACAGAGAAGCTGAGGTTGATGATAGCGATGATGATTGAGAATCTGAAGACATGGATGTTTAAATCATTATCTTTCCTGCTATCTATGTGTAACTTAACTATGAGAACCATGCTATTGTTATTTAAGTTTACTTTCAAGTTAAGATTAAAGGTTTCAGTTGATCTACTGTTTTCGAAACCACTAAGTCAGAAAATGTTTTTATATAATTTATTCAGGCACAGAAGATACTGATTCAATGTAAATGTCAGTAAAGCAAGATATTGGTCCAATAACAGGGTTTACCTTTATATTCTGGAGAGTCATAAACCAGTATAGGTAACCGTTCCCAAAAGCTGAGTATCTACCTGCCAAAACACATAAAAATGTTCAAGAATTTTAATCCAAGAAGAATACCGGACTGAAAGGATGTATTGAAGACTTATGCTACTCTTAATCAGTTGATATAAAAGTCATGAACAAGGATGTATTGAAGACTGCATATTTACGAAAAGAGTAAAATTTAATTTCCAAGTTCTGTCACCTCTATGAACAGAGGAAAAGCTGCAAATGTTTACTTTCACGTGAAAGGTTCATCTTTTGTGGACTTTGGAAATAGCTGTCTTCCTTATTTTCATTTCCAAACGGTCAGATATATTAAATGTATGAAGAGTATATTTATTTTTCCTAACCGAAAAACAATGAAATGGTAACATAATTCGACATCCTATAAATAACTCAGCACTCTGTCTTTTTGTAGAACAGAGAATCACAACAAATCTTCAAATATGGCAACTATATCGAAAATCAACGAACTTTCTCCTCATAGGAATGGTTGGACGATAAGAGTTAGAGTTTTGAAGAAATGGTCTGAGATGATAGATGGAGGTGGTGACATATTGCGTTTTCTTTTGGTAGATGATCACGTAAGTTTATTTATCTTCTTCATTCTTTTTTGTTAACATTTTGATTTATTCGGTATGATAGGAACTGCTATTAGTCGTGTTTTATGTACTTTTAACAATAGAAATTGTTTAATCGATAGGATGGAAAAATACCTGCCAAGGTCAGTCAAGAAAATGGTCTCTATGAGAATTTGATGAACAGCTACACGAGGGCGACTGGAAAATCATCACTGGATTTACCGTAGAGTTGTCACCTCCTGGATTTCGTTTTGCTATGAATCACCATACCATCATCTTCACAGGTAATACTAATCTGCAGAGGTCATGGGGTGTCATCACAGACCATTACATGAGTTTCAAGAACTTCCGGTCCATAATGAATGGAGTATATACTTCCAACTATCCAATTGGTATGTTTTTACTAACCGAGCAATTATTAATGTTTGTGAAAACTTATTATCTTGAAGTAGTAATCAATAGTCATTTCATATTTCATAAAAAAATATATAGATACACTCTAACTATTCTTTGAAATAGATCTCCTAGGCTATCTAGATGGCGTTGGTGAAATAGAAGTTGTGACAGACCACACCTTTACACTAGGTGATAACATGCAAACTTCAAGAGTAACATTCACCATCAAGGATCTTGAGTAAGTATAGTGGATAGAGTTCATGATTTTTTTACCTAGGTTTAAATGAGATTAAGCTGTAAATGCGACTTTTATCATCAACTATATATACTTTCCATCTTTAGAGGTCGCACACTGGAATGTGAAGCCAGGGGAGTTTTGGGTATCCAACTCTACAATAAATGGTGGAGGCATGGTGGAACCGAAACATTCATCACAATGAGTGATTGGATGGTTTACACGGACAGAGGTATTTATCACAGTTGCTTAGGAAGTTTTGCATCTGTATAGATGGAATGTTACATAAGATAGCATCTAGATAGAGTACAATCGACTATCAATGACTAGCTAAGTTTCCAACGTATAGGAACCAACGAGATGAAGATTAAGGATGCTGGAGGAATCTCTAGATTTGAGTTCAATGCCCTTTACCAGGATGTTTATGAGTTCAGGGCAGCATAGTAAGTGATGAATGTTTCAATTAGCATTAGACTCGAAATTTTTTCTCTGTAACTAATAAAACAACCTCTGTGCAGTTTTAATGAGAGCGACCCTACAGGGATAGAGAGTGATGGTTCAAGTGTTGAGCTGGATTGGTCTCCCTGAAAAATGTGTTTCACTTGGAGGGAAAATAAGTTGAACTTAAAGTCAACTTAGTGAACTGTTCTAGACCCGTGCTTCTATGCTGCCTATATTTAAATAATCTTTGGGGACTGTCGTTTGTTGTGTTTTCGTTGTCGTTTATAGACATTTTTACCTAATTAAATCATCCGTATGGATGTTGTTAAAGTTTTTCTCTTCAATTTTGGCCCATTTTCAACAAAACTGAGTCCATTATCGGAGATATGTTTGATCAGCTTAATAAATGTTTGTCTTTATATTTACTTTTTAACCTGTTATGCGAGTAGAATAAATTTTATTCATTACGAGTATTCAGTTAATTCATACCTTTCCCCTTTGCGTGTTAGACCATAAAGAAAACAGCTTTTCCTGTTTACATAGAGAAGACAAAACTGACAAACATTAGTCAATGCGAATCTATGACTGAAATATTTAGTTTACATAAAAAAATTAAAATCATAACAAATATATTGCTGAAATATTTTGTTTACATAAAAATTAGGAGGCATAACAAAAAAGGGTAAAACCTAATTCTGGAATTATATAAGGGAGATGAATAGCTCTTTATGTATTAGGGTCTAAACGAAAACTTAAGAAAATCTTTCAGAACATGGCTAATTTTACTAGGATCGCCGAGCTTTCTCCTCATCGGAATGATTATATAATAAGAGTGAAGATTTTGAAAAAATGGAAGGAGATGATATTTGGAGGTGGAGACATATTGAGTTTTCTTTTAGTCGATGAACATGTAAGTTTAAGAATTCCTATTGTGTTTTTTTAGTATAGATAGGTCTAATATTTTATCCGTTGGCTTACCTGGACTATCAACTAATTCAATTCTACTTTGTCAAATGAAAAGGGTGAAAAAATACCTGCTAAGGTTAGTCCGGAGATTGGCCTCAATGACGATTTCGACTTCAATCTGCACGAAGGCCACTGGATGATTATCTCAGGATTCATCGTTGAGTTAACACCACCTCCTTCACTTTTCTCTGAGAATAATCATACCATCATCTTCACCGAGGATACAGATCTGCATGTGTCAACTGGTGTTCATCAAGACCATTACATGGAGTTCAAGGACTACACAGATATAAAGAATGGAGTATACAACTCGCATCGTCCTATCGGTAAGTGAATACGTCTCTACATTTTTAACTCGTGCAAATGAGACATATTGTATACTACTGTTAGACAAGCACATCTTTAATGGAGTTAGTCACAGACAATTTAACATTATGTTTTCAATGGAAACTAGATCTTATAGGTTATCTGGATGACGTTGAAGAGATAAGAACAGTGAAGGACCACAACTTTAGACTAGCTCCTGGCAAGAAGACTTCTAGAGTCATGTTCACGATAAAGGGCTTAGAGTAAGTGAAGCAAAATTGTCTGTGACTTAATTCAGACTTCTACCCGTTATAATATATTTCGTTTTTTGAGACTAAACTGTTTTTTAACATATTGAATTTAGTGGTGTAACACTGGAATGCAAAGCTTATGGAGTCTTGGCGGATCAGCTATATGATAAATGGTGGTATCATGGTACAACAGAAACATTCATCACAATGAGCGACTGGATGGTTTACGGAGAACAAAGTATGCAATCTTTTAATTTCATCATTTCGAAATAGTTACTACAATGAAAGTGAGTCTACAACTTCATTACTTGCGATCAACTGTTAAAATAAATGATAGGAACCGGTGAGCTGAAGATTAAGGACGCAGGAGGAATATCTAGATTTGAGTTCAATGCTGATTATCAGGATGTTTATGATTTCAGCGCTGAATAGTAAGTTAGAAATCTATTTACAATATCTTTACATTCCTTAATTTTTTGTTAACATTAATCGTAACTAATACTAATTATGCTAAACATTTTTTTTTGCAGTTTCAATGACAGTGATGGCTCTGTTGAGGAGGTGGTAGTAGTATCTCCATGAAATACTACTGTGTTAGTATGAATTTCCATAAGAGATTGTCGCCATGTTGTTTTTGAACTATTGACTGTTTCAGTTTATGCTTGATTCACAATTCTATCTATGAACTATCTACTATCATCTTTGAATCTGTTTCTTCTATCTCCTTCCTATATTTGAATCTGTTCTTCTATAACCATATCTGAGTGATTTTACATGCACTATTTCGTATATGCAATCATCATTATATTAATAGAGTGTCAAATCCCTAAAGACCTAATTTTAATGAGTACAAATGATATTATATTAACTGTGACATTAAATCCGAAAAGTTTGGTAAAGAAGATTCGGGAAAATAGCCATAGATATAATCATTGTTACCAGAATTTAAAAATGTTAAAAATATATAAAATTACAAAAAAAAAAGGAAAAAACATTACTTTGCGTCGTTTAGTAATATCAACCGTCCCAATCAAAGACAACCCTAATTTGTTTCCCTATATAAGGAGAGTGTTCTCCGAACTTATGTTCCAGAGTAGAAAACTAAGAACTCCATTTCTAGAAAATATCTTCAATGGCAAACTTCACCAGACTCAACGTGTTGACACCTAACCGTTCTGATTGGAGGGTTTTGGTTAGAGTTGAAAAGATGTGGGATACCTTGGAGGCAGATGTTGGTGAAGGTCTTAGCTTTCTTTTTGTGGATGAAATGGTTTGTTCTCGATCTATTCATATTCATATTTTCTCATATACAAGTTCTTTATATTCCAAAATCATGTTCCTAACTACACTTTATGTTACTCTAACAGGGCACAAAGATGCATGCTTTTGTTGAACAAAGTAATCAGATGAAAAGGTTCAAGAGATGTCTTCATGAAGGGGAATGGAATATTCTAACCGGATTTTCCGTGGTCATGGTGAACACAGAGATCCGTTTGACGGAAGCCAGAAACAAGATTGCTCTCACGTCCAACACCAGCGTCACACCCGCAGAGGACTCGGATGCTTGGATTCCGCTTGACATCGTTCCTTACGATATGTTTCGAATTTTTGGAATGATGAACGAACTTCTTTCCCTAGAGGTTAGTTTTTCTTACTTAACATTTTGTATCATCTAAACGAGGAACCCTATAGGAAAAGTAGCTTTCAATATGTTAATTTTATTTGGCATTTTTTTGTAGACTTTCTAGGGTTTATATTTGAAGTTCGTGAGACAATGCTCAGGGAAGATGTCTCTATTCCTAGGAACCCTTTAAACGATGATCCAAAGACCACTAACACAATAGATTTCACCTTACAGGACAACGAGTAAGTATATTTACACAAAACTAAATTGGAATAAGTTATGTATCGTTTCTGAATTCTAACCTGAAATACATACACTATTTGTGGCTACTTTAGTGGGGATCAAATACAGTGTCGTGTAAAGGGTGCCTTAGCATCTAAGTTTAAACGGTTTTGGCTTTACTATGGTAAAATTGAGACCATCGTATGCCTCTTAACCGATTGGCGGGTTGTAGAAGATGCGGGTAAGTGTATGAAAATTTCCAGTTACATCCTTCCTTGAATAATCTATACTATTAAATATTATTTATCTTGATGGGATGTTATAATTATATGTGTAGATCCAATTCATATCGAAAGTGAAGAAGGAATCTCTAGATTTGAATTCAATCCTATTGGCTTTGATGAGGTTGACCATTTCACTGAGATAATGTAAGTATTCTAAGAATGACTCTCTCTGATAACAAGAATTATGAAAAGGCTTAAAACTTGAAAATTACAGCTTAATAAAACTAATGTGTCTATGCAGGTGCTCTTCCTCACAAGACAGCAGCGAAGAAGATGTTGAAGAAATGGAATTTGATTATTTCAATGGCTGTAGAACCGACAACAAAAGTTGATGGACTTCACGATATGCTCAAGCAAAATGTCGGAAGATATTTTAAGATGATGCACGTCGTCTACTTTTCTGTCCATGGTTATTATCTAAGACAACTATGTATTAAACCTTTGTTTCATGTTTGGGAACCTTTTTAAACTTTTCTGGCTTCTATTTAACTATGTTTGATTTGATTTGATCATAGTCTTTTCTAATAACATAACAGTAGGTCACAACTTAAAACGAAACAAACAGAAAAACACGGATTGGAAAGGATTGAAAAACAACAAACATTTACCTTGGTGTATTTTGCATCTATTCGAATATGTAATGATTCTCTAGCCGGTTACGTAGATTCCGCAACTTAATGAACTCTCCTTTTCTGAAAATATCCGTATATTCAGTTAATTATCACAAGAAAATATTCAATCTTCAGAAAATCTTCAGGAAATATTTAAGAATCCATGATTAAATGCAACCGTCCACATAAACGCAACCCTAGAAAGAACATCATATATAAGCGGAAAAATTCATCCTATTTCAATCAAAACTCTGTAAAGAAGAAAAGAAACCTAAAAAACAACTTCAATGGCAAACTTTGAGAGACTCGCCATGGTTACACCCAATGGAGATGATTCAATGATTCGAGTGAGAGTTGAGAACGTGTGGTCTACTCTAGATGTCGAGAATGGTGAAGGCCTCAGTTTCCTGGTGGTTGATGATGAGGTTTGTGAATAGTTAACCTATACAGTTAAACATTGGGTTATTTTAGAGGTAACAAATTTTAATGTTTTAATCTCCACTCATTTTTGCAAACAGGGCACAAGGATGCATGCATTCGTCCAGCATTTTGCTGATGCCAAGAGATTTAAGAGACTTCTTCAGAAAGGAGACTGGTTCACGATAACTGGTTTCTCAGTTGTTATTGTCCGGAATGAGATTCGTATGACTAAACAAAGAAAAGAGATCGTTCTCAAGCGAAACACAGAAGTTGGTGTTTCAGAATTGTTCAATGGTTTTATTCCGCTAGATTTGGTTCCATTTCAGGATGTTAAGAACGGAACTGTTCACGATGGAACTTCTTACACTAGAGGTTAATTTTCCTTACTAATACTATTGTCAAAGAGCAAAATTTTAAGATTAATTAAAATCCTTTTGTTAAAGTTTGATACTTTGTTTTAAACGGTTTTTGTAGACTTTCTAGGCGTCATATCTTCTGTTTCAGATTTCGGCCTCACAGTGGATGACTCTATGCCTAGAAACATACATAACTATGATCCTAAGACCACCGGATCGATTGACTTTGTTCTTCAAGACAACGAGTAAGAATTTGATAACTACTTATTAGATCTTTTCCAAACTAAGAAACATGATATGTTATATGATTATGAATGTCACAATTTCATGGTTATGCAGTGGAAATCATCTAAACTGTCGTGCAAAGGGGATCTTGGCGGTTCTCTTTAAACGTAATTGGCTATGTTATGGTGAAACCGGAACAAACATATGCCTATTAACCAATTGGCGTGTTGTTGGAAGAGATGGTTAGTAAACTTTGAAAACCTTAAGTTACCTTCATCTTACGCTATAGCATCTCAATATCAACTAGATAATGATCAACCATTACTCTATAAACTACCAGGTCCTATTCAAGTCGAAGATGAAGAAGGGATTTCTACTTTTGAGTATGATCCTCCTGGACACCACGAAGTGGTACATTTCACGAACATATTGTAAGTATTATAATTCGGAATTACAAAGTTTTTTAGAATGTAGGCTGCTCATTATGACCATTCTTAGGTTCTGGTTTACTGCAGATTGCACCAAGAAGAGGACCTGAGCGATGAATGATGATCACAAGCATATGAAGGAGATAAATCACTGAATCATTCCCATCGAAGTATGAAGATCTTTTCCGTTTAAGTATTTCTTGAGTTTTTGTTTGCAGTTTAGCTATGAGAATCTAAGTGGGGGGGGGGGGGGGGGGGGGGGGGGGGGGGGGGGGGGAGGGGGGGGGGGGGGGGGGGAAAATCAATGAATCATTCCCATCGAAGTATGAAGATCTTTTCCGTTTAAGTATTTCTTGAGCTTTTGTTTGCAGTTTAACTATGAGAATCTAAGTATGCACCTTTCATTTCAACTATGGTTTCAAAATATCCTATGTTCTTCAAAACGATGTGAACTTTGTTAGTCTATGAGAATGATGTTTTAAAACTTTTTTCCATTTTTGAGAACTACCTATATTGTGATTGTATTTACGTTTGTCTTAATTTGTTCTTAGTTTATGCAAATAACTTAAAAACGAAATTGTTAATCTAACGGAGAAATCAAGTTTCCCTTATGGTAACAAATTCAAATCACAACTAAAAACCTAAAATAATTCTAACGGATACCACAGAGATACAAAAAGGTGTCCAAGAAAAATATTTACCTGAGTATTTTGCAGTGAAGTTTTTTGGTATTCAACAGCAATGTCTCCTTTTCAATCCGTGCTTCACTCATGATCGCTCAGCTCGTCAAATTTACAACCAAGTAATGTGATTACGAAATGTTAAATAAATTCACCATTATGACGGGATTGAACATATACAAGTTTTAATTTACTTTGCAATTCATTTGATTTTAATCTTATTTGTGTTATCTGATTTAGGAGGCAAGTAAAAATCGAAGTCTTGCTACAGGGAAGGAAATTGCGAGAGCTTAGAGGTTTACATGACCTACAGAACGGAGACGCAAGGGCACAGTCCCGTCAGCTGCAGAGATTGATTTTGCTGGGTTCTTTTGAGTAGAGCATAGGATTTTCACGAACATTGAAAAGATCTGGATTAGGTCAGACCACAAAAATGTTTGAGATTGATCGATTGAGATTTCAGTAACAGAAGAAGATGAAGAAGACGAGCGGAGAAGTGTTAACGCGAGGAGCATAAAGGAAAAAGAAGAAGATGAAGGAGACGACCGGATTTTTGTCGAAAGAGAAGACGTTCCGACGATATCGCGAAATTAAGAAAATAAGAAATGGTAACGGCGATTCTCGGCCGTTGAAAAATTTAAGAATATACCCAAATTAAGGAGTATAATTTAAGAGTATTGATTTTCTTTTATGATTTCTGCAACTGAATTAACTTTTGGAACAAATGGAAATAATAAATAGGGGTTATCAAATTTGAAATATTAATTCTATACTTATAACTCACCAAATCAAACCCGCAAAACCATACATTATGAAACCAAGCAAAACGGTAAATCTTTAAACCGAATGAGATATACGTATATAACCAAAATATAACTCACCAAATAAAACTGTGCAAACCCCGTAAAACAACATATCTGTATGTTATACTGTCAAAACATATTGAAGGCGGTTTGAGCAATACTGCCTCAGAGTCAGTATCTTGCATGAAAACATAACAAACTTTTATTGAAATAATTACCGTATCAATATTATAAAAACATTTACAAAAAACTTTTCATCCCGTGCTTCCCAAGCACGGGTCAGGATCTAGTACCAATTAAAGGTAAATGAAGAACGGGAAGAACGGGTTTGTGCGGAGGCGAGACACTCTTTCCTTAATTCTTTAATTGCCCGTAGTGTGACGATGTTTATGCAATCAGAATCCCAAGATACAACCGCACTCGACTATTCCGCAACACTCGGAATAGAAGCTAACGAACCTAACTCTGTGTTATACTCTCAGACACAAAATAAAAGAAAAGAAAAATAAGAGAGAAACTAAACTTGTGAGGAATGTTTTCTGTGTTGAATGAATGATTTCCTATGAAGCACAAGAGGCTTTATATAGGAAAAGAATGAGATCAAGTGACATAATTGCATGGTCTTCGTATTGACCAAAAACATATCACAACATAATGGAGCAAATCACGTAGCAATCAATATTATTAAGTCACAATATGACTTTGACCATATGACTTTGACCACGTAATAATAGACTAAGATATTTTGCTTTGATCAAATTTAAAGCAATAATATTTTAGTATATGGATTTCTTTTTTGTGTAAATTAAGTCTTAACACAAAAGATTAACTTTAATTTGGTTCACTATAATAAGTTAATGGACTTGATATCCAATTAACAATTATAACCCAAACTCAAATCCAAATATCTAATATGGGCTATTTGCTAATTTTAACACTTAGCCAAATATAAAAAACTTTATAAGCTTTTATAAACACCCATTTATAAACTCCATTTCTCATTCAAATCAACTCTGATTTTGACATATGAATACACTTATTTCATAGTGTTCATGGCGACGATTCTTTCGTGCCTAACATATGGTTTTTCCGACAAACGTCTTCACCGGAAAACCAACCGGAAAATGGACTTAAACCATTTTGTCAAAAACGAGTTCCGACAATAAAGGTGTGATTGATTCATGTCCGCGTCGAATTTGAGTCTCCCTCATGCTTGGTTTTTGCTACTGAACTGAGTTGGTTCTCAGAATGATCTAGGCATAGCAATTGTTGACGACCGTACCAATATTTCTGCATTTATGTACTTGTTGTCTCCGTGGCTCTTAATAACATTAAGCACGCTTAAATTCCTAAAGCCGTAGCTTTTCAAGTGTTGAATGTCTCGTCTTGAGGAGTTCATATATCAAAGACTACCTTCAAAATTTCCATTTTTTTTACCGTGTCAAACATTCTTATTTCCATTTTGCTTTTCATGGCTGTTCTAGCCTTAAACCTCTTCCCATTATAGTTTTTTTTTCTGTATTTTGACAAACACATAATACAAATGGTTATAACGTTTTTTTATAAGTTGAGAGAAAAAACCAATGAAAGCCCAAAATTGTAGAAAGAAAAACAAATAATAGCTGGCGATGATTTTGCGAGAGAAATATTTTAGTAGTAGTTTGTCACACAAAAAGTTGTGAATTTTTGTGAGAAGAACTATCATTTCATATGTAAAACAATTTGTGTTCGTTTGGACTTTGGATACTGGAAAAGTCACAATAATCTCTGTGTTTTTATAAATGTCTTATAAAATGTGGCATTTTTAAA